TTATCTTGCTGCAAGCTGGCTTTAATCAGAGATTTGCATAAGCTGCAGCGGAGTCGTTGTCTTTAATATGTTTATGGCTAAAACGTGTTTAGGCCAGGCGCACTCTTCTTCATATTTGCATTACAAAGGCAATTTAAGTGCGCCGTTGCCTGTCAAGCGCTTCATTGCCATTGAACTGATTTGATCGAACATCAATTTAATTGCAATATTTTTTATGGCCACCCAGCGGTTGGTATATATTTATGCGTCTGCACAGTAAACAAAATCTGGGTTTGAATTGAATTAAATTTAAAAATTGTAAAATGCAATTTAAACAAGTAAGAGGTTCTAGTCGGAAGCTCCCTTCCAATATCAAATGCATATATATATTTTCTATTTTAGAAGCAATATGTCAAGTTTGGTGACTCTAGCTCTTATTATTTACCAAAATTGCCCAAAAAACAGGATATCGATATCGATTTTTATCGATTGCTTGGAAACGGAGTAAGTTATTGATTATCGGAAAGAAACTCGGTCTGCGCAGGCACTAGGAGCACCTACATCTAAAATTTCTAGCTCTTATAGGTTTTGAGATCTTTGCGTTCATACATACGGACAGACAGACAGACGGACATGGCTAGATCGACTCGGCTATTGATGCTGATCAAGAATATATATACTTTATGGGCTCGGAGATGCTTCCTTCTGCCTGTTACATACATTTGGATTTTGCACAAATACAATATACCCTTATACCCATTTTTAATGGGTTCAGGGTATAAAAAGTAAACAAATTTTTTGGCGTATTTCAATAAATTTTGGGTTTTTATTTCATGAGCCCAATGAAAATAATTAAAAGGGTTTATCAATTTTAGGTATTTGTATAAAGTAATATATATTCTTTGTTTCTATAGGAACGTCGAGCTCCTGAGCCACAAGAGCTAGAATCTTGAAATCTATTCATTTCAACTTATCGATATTTGTCCCTGTATTTATCGATAAATATCGATATCAACCCCATGTTTTGGAACTAGCGTTTAGTATATAGACAAAATAATTTATTTGTTGGCATTTACACAACTCTTAAAGCCACAAAATGCTCTAAAAAATGACATAAAGATCGGACAATAAGCACCGAAGGATTAAAAATAAATGCCAAAATTATAAAATATACACTTAAGTCTTATTTACTGTTTATTTTAAAACGAAATAGTTTAAAATCTTGCTACTGTACAATTGGGCTTACATTTTAACACATTTTAACACAGATGAATTTGAATTGTAGCCAACTTTTTGTCACTGTGTATTTTGCCTAGGCCTGCGCGCTGTCTTTGATTTTATAGCCCAGGCACTGCCCAGAGGCTGGCCTTCGCCTTGGTCTCAGCTAGCTGCTCGACTAGGAAGATTTGTTGTGTCTTGGAAATCAATTCAATTAGCACATACACACACACACATAGTTTGAGTCAGCTGGCAGCTATTTGCAGCGGCTATATTATGAAATTGGAGTTCGGTTTGAAATTCGCGCGCACACGTTTTGAATGCGCGGTTCGCTAATCGCGCAATCAACTGGCGGGCATAGCGCGCATATCAAACACAACAACATGACAAATTGATACAACTAAGCACACGCACACACACACGCGCACACACACACACTCACTTAGCTGCGTGCGCTCTGTGGTTTTGGCAGGTGGCTGAGGAGAAAGTTTCCAACATTGAAACAACTTTGCTGTTGTGTGTGTTGCCATTGTTGTTGTTGCTCAAGCCCCGAAAAAATCAAAAGCTAAACACTCACAAAAAATAAATGCCAAGCCATATAAAAGATGAAAAAAAAATGCTCAGCTGAAGAAGCAGCAACAAGAAATAAGTTAAACGGGGGGAAGCGGCGCAACCGATTATGAAATCGCCGTCGATGGAATTCGAATCAATGTAAATACATACACACACACACACACACATGTATACACATGCATATGTCTGTGTACGTATGCATGCATGTATGCGTGTAGTTATGAGGCGTGCAGCCTGACTTTGGCCAAGTCTCCGCGGCTGAGAAACTCTTTTGCAATATGGCGAGCAGCAAGCAACGAAATGAGGCCTGGGCCTGGCACAGACAACTCTTCAGCAATGCGGCAACTTGGACTGGATTGGCTTGTAATTGAATCACACTTACGCGCACATCAACACACACACACACACACACACACACAGATGTGTATGCACTTAGGTATGTACAGTTGGTTGGCCACATAACGCACCCAAAGAGTAGGAAGCGACAACGCACTTGACAGAGTTGTAGCTGTTGCTGTTGCTGTTACAGTTGCATTCGCTGTTGTTGCTGTTGTTGTTGTTGTTGTTGCTGGCGTTGCCGTTCCAGTTGATGCCACCAACAATTGCCGCTCTATGGAATTTTTCACTTTTGCTTTTAATAGCCAGTGTAACAGAAGAAGAAGAAAAAACGCGAGCAGTCAACAGTCAAAAGACAACAGACAACGGATAACAAAATGCAAATTGCATGTTGGTCATGTTTTGTTATTTCTTATACCCTTTAGTTAGTGCAAGTAGCTTATATAATTCATAAATTGGTTATGACAAGTTTTCATAAAGCAGATGCTGGTAATTGCCCTAAACAGCTGCAATTTAACACTTAGTATGCCTATTTAAAATAGATTGCTCATAATTAAAAAAAAAAAAACAGCATACGACTTTAACATATTGCAACTGTTAAAATTATAACAGTAAAAATTTGGTGTAATTTAATGTGCCATGAAATTAACATGTTAACACAAAATAACCTGTTATGAACATTACAATACGATTTTTTTCAATTACTTTGTTTTAAGTTATATTTAGAAATTGTAACTCTCACCTATTTTTTTCGGTATGTATTTTGTTGGTAATGAAAAAAGTACTTTCACAATAAATACAACTCTTTATTATTCGTATTGCTAATTCCCATGAATTGGAATTTTTGACAAATGACAATTGGAACTTTAGTTTCGTAGGTGGACCAGAAGAAAAAACCAATAGGAATTTTAAATTTGCATATTGAAATTATTAAGAGTGCTCCAAAAGATATTTCTGCTAATTACATAATGATTTTCAAATTATTTAATAATAACATATGCCATCTTAACATAATTAATTTCAGTGCAGGGTATTTTCAAGTGGATCTCCGAGTGAAAGCAAAACTCTTACTTGTAAAAATGTGTTTTTTTTTGTTGTTCATTTTTTGAATTTTTGAAATTGCCGCTCTTCACATAACTGTAACCTGAATGTGATGCAGGCAGTCTGTCTGTCTGTCTGTATGTCTGCGCCAGATGTCGCTTATTTCGTTAGGCACACGCAGCGCCGACCAGGCCGGGACGGGTCAGGCCGAGGAAGTCGGCTGCTGACATTGATTTTGAAAAACGGAGGCGACTTTCGAGCAGCATCGACAGTTGCAGGAAATGGGAAAAGTTAACAGCGCAACAGGATACGAGCAGCGTACGCGGCGCCATTCCAAAACAACATTTTTGTTTTAATGGCACACAATAGAAATGGGCCCTCGAGTGTTTCAAGTGTGGCCAGGGGAAACGCACTTACAATGGCCGAAAGGGACAGTTGGGCGCAACATGCGTTGCACATGTGGCGTCCGCTTACAGAAGTGCGGGAGAGAGCGGGAGAGCGAGTGTGGGAGAGTGACCCCAACCCAATTGGATGGAATTGAATTGGACCCAAGTGTGGCCAGTTGCATAATTATTGGGCTAGCCAAAGCAGGGAAATGCCAATGATTAGGCAATTGATAAGGTTCCACAACAGCACGATCTATAAGTAAACATAAATAGAACTAACCTCGCTTTTGCTATTTTCGATATATATATATATATATATATATATGTATATACTCTTGTTGCTGGGCCGAGTCGCCGACGCTTTGGCGTGTTGTATCTGATGGGTGTCACGCACTAAAGAAATGCAAATGAAGCCGTTTGCTTCACTTTCAGATGAGGCGATGGCAACACACACACACATACACTTGGTTATTTATTTTTTTAAATTTTTTGTAGTGTATTTAGTGGAGCACGTCTATTTATTATTTAAAGCACAAAGGCTGTTGTATGATGCGTATTAGTTTTGTTTATTTGGCCACTTTGCAAACAAATCCACATAATGGTTCTAAATGGTAATAAATTTTTAACATTTATATAACAATCGCACAATCATTAACATGCCAACATTGCCAGTGCGAACAATTTCGTTTTCTATATTGTTTAAACAATCAGGGTGTTACTTTTTTATTTCTTTTTTTTTGTAGATACGGGCTCTTTGCTTTTGCTGCTGCACGCACGGAGGTTAATTGTTGTACGATTAGCACGCTTTTGATTTAGCTGCGTGTGAAGAACTTGCGGTTCGGCTGCGTTTAAACAATCTGACGTGTTGTATCCTTTTTCGCTCACGTTTATAAACTTTTGGTAAGCTCAAGCGACAATCTTTTCTTCCCGAGTACCACGACTTTCACGCTCAGCTGTTCTCGATGAACTGAACTCCCCACGCTAAGTCCAACAGCTGTTCACTGTTAACAGCCAGCATAACAGTGGCAATTTCATTAACATTTGGTGTTATTTACAGCGCGCATACAAAAAGGGCAGTTCCAGTCAATGGGGGATCTATAACGCTTTCTTTTAGATAAGTGCAAGTTATAAAACAATCAGCGGGGCATTTGGTTTAATGAGTTAAAAGTTGATTTTAATCAACCGCTGACAAATATATGGGAGTTTGTTTTTTATATGAAAGTAAGGTTAAGCGTTGCCACTGCTGTGAACAACAGCCGCTTTATTAGCGTTGCCACTTAAATGGTTCTTGTCTTCACTAATCGTCAGCCGATTTTTAACAGAAAACGCTGTTCGATACATCGAACAAACATATAGTTTGAAAAGATTAAAATATAAGAAACAATTTCTCAGATCTAGTTTGCATGTTAAATTTCAAAAAAACATTATTTCTAAATCAATATTAAATTAAAGCAATTTTCGATGTCAATCCGATATTTGACGCTGGCAAAAATATCACGTTTTAAAGTGATCGATACTGGCATTATATCGATAGTTTAGGCGTCGCTAATTGTGATTTGCAATTTCACTTTGCCTACTTCATACGTGCATATTTTTTATACAAAATTAAATTAAATATAATCAGAATATAGCTCAGCTCACGATATAGCAACAATGTCGAATACGCAAGCGACAGTTACCGCATACCTGGCAGCACAAAAGAAGACCACAAACAAAGATCTCGCTGCCGAATGGACCCTCATCGAGGAGCTGCACAATGAAAAGTAAGCATTTTCTATGTTTTATGGCCTTTTCTGTTTTAGTACAATTTTCGGTTTTTCATAGATTGTGGAACGAGCTGACAATCAAGCTTGTAACATTCGTGCGCCACGAATCGCTGCAGGACGAAACAGCTCTGCTGCAGCTCTATCAAAACTTTATCTCCACCTTCGAAACAAAGTAAGTCGCAGCCGCACTTAAAATAGGCTGTTCCATTAAATATTTAAATATTTACAGAATTAATCCATATGGGCTGATTCAAATACTTGAGGTGGTCGTGGATAATATAAGCGACAAAAAGGAGGCCATTGATTTCCTGGAGAAAATGAAGGATAAAGTTAAAATATGCGATGAGGCCGTCTGGTATCTGCAAGTCATGCAGGGTAATCTATATCTAAGCAATCTGAACGATTTGAATGCTACCAAAAAGATCATCGAGGAGTTGCGCGACGTCCTGGAGGAAGCCGGCAACGTAACGCCAGTCCATGGCAAATACTATATGCTGGCCTCACAGTACTATCGCCGCGTGGGCAAGCACAGCGAATATTATCGCTGCGGCCTGCAGTTTCTGGGCTGCTCGCTGGACGACTATCCGCGGGATCAATGGGCGCAGCAGGCGTTCTTTTTGGGTCTGGCCGCTCTGCTGGGCGATGGCGTCTACAACATCGGTGAGCTGTTGGCGCATCCCATTTTGGAATCCCTACAAAATACGGAAAACGAATGGCTCGTTGAATTACTGAAGGCCTTCAATACGGGCGACATAAACAAGTGAGTGCTGCAAGTCTCTTAACTCTTGCAAACTTCTACTAAATTGTGTTGCCCACAGATTTAATGAGATGAAAACTATTTGGTCTAAAATACCCGATTTGGCTGCTCAAGAGGTTAAATTGCGTCAGAAGATTTCACTGCTCTGCCTCATGGAGATGACCTTTAAGCGTTCGGCCATCGAGCGTGCCATTTCCTTTGCCGACATCGCCCGAGAGACAAAGCTGCCGCCCAAAGAGGTCGAGTTTCTGATCATGAAGGCTCTGGCTCTCGATTTGGTGCGCGGCGAGATCGATCAGGTCGCCGGCGTGGTCAACATGTCCTGGGTGCAGCCACGCGTGCTGAATCGCTCACAAATCGCTGGCATGGCCAGCACACTGGACACATGGATGGGCGCGATCACAAACATGGAAAAGCTTATGGAAAATCGTGCTGCCGAAATTCTCACAAACTGATTATAGGTTTTCTTTAATTTCCATTTGCGTATATCCCTTTTGTATTAAACCAACACGCATGCCGAATGCCAACTACACAATTGGTTTTACTTCAAAGTTTCCTTTTGTGAGGTCGAATTAAACTAAAGATTCTGTCTAAATAATAAAACCAACATCGGGATTAATCCGAGTCTAAAGAAGTCGAGCTTTAAAACCAGAAAAGTTTTCATATTTGAAATGAAATAAATGATGTTATGTTACTTTATTCATGCAATAACGGCTAGGTTAGTTGACGCCAATGGCTTCCACATAGCCCACGCAAGTTTCTGGATTGAAGATGAACAAATTTCGATGAGGAGCTTCCATTTTGGTCACCACCTTGATAACCTCCTGTGCCACAACGCCGCCAACGACAGCGACTGCTGGTGAGATCTGTGCGAAGAGCAAGCCAAGTGCATCGCTGGTGAGAGTGGAGTTTGGTGCCAACTCGTCTCGGATCTGCTCCAGCAGCTCAATATCCGCCGTTCTGGTCTTGTAGTGGGGATCACGCTTGTTTTCGCTGCGGAAGGTTTGTAGAACGCGCAGCAGGATGATGCCGGGACCATCGCGACGCAGCTTGCGCTGGTAACTAGGAGCATTAATGTCGAAGTCGAGCCAGTTGGAGTACGCCGGATACTCGACCTCGCGTTGCACTGGAGTGGACACCGTTTCGTATTTGACTTTCTCATTTGGCTTCGAGACAACCTTGTACTTGAAAACATTCCTAAAAAAGAAGGCTATAGGAGCGGGTCTATATATAGCCATTCGTCAGTGACTTACTCCACGTAGCTGTGCTTCTGCAAGCCGGCATAATGGAAGCCAAACATGCCCCAAACGTCGGTGGCAAAAAATTTAACGCCCAAGTCCCGGCATATGGTGTCGATGCGCAATAGCTCTGCGTTGCTGGCGCCGTTTATGACGACCACATCGAATTGGCCAAAGAAGTCAGCTGTCTTCTCCTTCAATGGCTGAGTGTCGGCGGATATGTCCACCATCGGATTGAGGGCACGAGCACGTGTCAGGGATGCCTCGGCCCGGTTGAGGCCCAGCGATTCACGTGGCGCCAGGAATTGTGAGCAGAAATCCTCCTCGGTAACCAATTTGTCATCGTGCAATTTCACCAAGTTTACACCAGACAAAATGATATTCTTGGTAATTTCGGCACCCAGTCCATTCAGACCGGAAATCAGTATATTTGCTGTGCGCAGTCTAAATGAGAGCATTTAATTGTTAACTGTTATTCTCTTTTTTTTTTGCCATAAATATTTAGACACCCGGCTAACCGGCAAACTGACCGTTTTTGTGATTCCAAGCCCCAAAGTCGTATTTGTCTATCATATAGCTCATTTTCGGCTTCGGTGAGCTCAACGCCAGTTTCTTTCGTGTCTTTATCTACGTCCATTTTCATATTTAAGCAAAAATTGTTTCTAAATGTTGCAAAAAGATGTACGCCAAAAATGCTAGAGATGCATTAATCATTACAAAACTATCGATATGTTAATATGGCTAATTGGTGAGTATTAAAAGTCGATAACAGTATTTATTGCTGCACTTGTTGCACTATCGACGGCTAATACTATCGACTATTAAAAATCGATAGCTGTATAGATTGCTGCACTGTAACTTAAGAGAGCGCGCATTTGAATGAAAATAAACGCTCTTGTTTGGCATTTTTTTTATTTAAGGCTTTTAATAATATAATAACAGTATAATTATGTATGTATTGTAGAGTTGTGTTCACTATAGATACTATACAGTGATGATCGTATAAATGTATCGCTTTTCTCCACAAATCCATCCAAATGTGTCCACAAGAACCAAAACGTTAAAGTAAAGAACAAAATCTTACTGACCCAATCCAGGATATATAGACGTCGCAGCACTTTTTTAGCGTACGGCAACGTGGCATCACTTTCGCCCAGAATATAGGTGCGCATGCCACGTATATAGTTGCTAATATAAGTCTCCCAGTTGACCTGGCTAACCGATGTGTCGAACAGTTCCTGATCCGTGGCATTTAGTGTGTTGCTCATCTCCTGAAATTTCTCATTTCTAAAGTCCCAGTCTTTTGTTGTATAGTACTGCAACAGCTTTAACCCGGTGGAGATTTTCCGCTGAACGTTTACCAAGCTGAAAAGAAAGATTTTTGGAATTAAAATGTTGATCAAATAATTCCGGAGGAGCAGCACTTACAATGGCTTCTGGCCGAAGATCAGCAGCCAGAAATCAATGAAATACGCAGGCAAATAGTGAAAGAATATGACGCAAAATAGATGATGGTAATAGTTTCTCTTGATGGAGCCACCCGGATACCACAGCGCAAAGCTAAGTGGCGTTTCGTAGAAAAACTTGCGACCCGTCTCAATGCTCTCGCCCCAGGACATCAGCGCCTTGCTGGAGATGCACAGATTGCAAAACTCCACCTGACTCTGTTGGCCAGCCTTCGAGCCGGCGCTGACCTTGCCGCGCTGATAGCCGCAGAGTATCATACCGTTGATGGCCTTGTCGACGGGTATCACCGTGGAGGCATAGTCCGGATTGCAGTGCATCGAACGGATGACACCACGCGCGGCGCCAATCATCAGACCGGTTGGTCCGTTAACGCCCTCAATCCATCCGGGCATGGGCTCGTGTATGGCCGCCGTCACTGGACGAACAAAATAAGGTTACTTGTCAAGCCCAACCAGTTTGCGGGACCTACATACCGATGGAAGGCCTTGTGACGATAACGGGCAGCTTTTTGTTATATCTGCAAATTAGATCTTCGGACAGCGCCTTGCTGTAAGCGTACGTGTTGGGCAAACCGTTGAGCAATCTGCAAGTGGAAATTTATGTAGTTGACTCTCAGCAGCAGTAGCAGTCACCACATGTGTCTTACTTGGGTGTTATTTCCGCCAGGCCGGCATCGTCCATGGTCTCGACCATTTCGATGATGGCAAAGGGATTCTGTGGCGCCGCATAGGCGCGCTCCTCCAGCACGCTCTCATTGCACTGACAATACGAGGTGGACACATGGATTAGGGCGAGCAGGTGGCTCATCTTCTCGGCCAGCTGGAGCACCTTCAGGGTGCCCAGCACATTCATGTTGACCATCGGACGCAGCGGCTGATCGAAGCGCACATTGGCCGCACAATGGAACACAATCTCCACGGTGGAGGCGAGCGTGTTTATGTCATTGGCGTTCAGGCCAAGGTCCGGCTCGAGCACATCGCCCTTTACAATGCGCACCTTATGCACGATGTCGGGATTCTTCTCCAACAGCTTGCTGAAAATCTGCAAAGATTCAACAGCGGGCCATTAATTAACACTCGCGCTTGTGTTATGTTGTTGTGTGTAACTCGAGTCGGAGTCTTGGAGTCTTGGAGACGTGGAGCAGCTGCTCAAGAATCGCCTAATGGGCCGCGACAGAAATGAATAGTCATTGTAAGTTTTTGGATTTTTTCGACACACATAATGACTACCTTGACTTATAAATGTCTGCCGTGTGTCTCTGTTTTATGGCTCGCATTCATTTGGCCATTTTATTTCGTCGGTAATTTTGGTAATTTGCTACCAACTTTTTGGGCCGTTAAAGCGGCCGTTACACTAAGTATAACTTTTAAATAACTAAACTGATTAACGGGCTCTATTCACAGAACTTTGGCTAAAAACTGGCATTGAATTTGCGCTTAAATCGCATAATTAACGAGAAAGTAAGACTATCTTCGGCACGCCGAACATCTAATACCCTTGCAGACCCAACCTTTTCATAATGCTTTGCCCGTATCTAAGAAGCACAGGGAAACTAGTTAATGCCGAGTTTGCTCAAGATATCTAGAAAAACAAAATTTGTTTTCATACAAGAATTAAATTTTCAACCGATCGTTCCTATGGCAGCTGTATGATATAGTGGCCCGATCCAGCTGGTTTTGACATGCAATAGAAAAGTTTCATTAAGATAGCTTTAAAACTGAGAGACTAGTTCGCATAGAAACAGACAGGCGGACAGACGGACATGGATCTATCGACTCGGCTGTTGATGCTGATCAAGAATATATATACTTTATGGAGATGTCTCCTTCGATGCGTTACACATTTCACGACAAAATTATAATACCCTCTGCAAGGGTATAAAATCATATATATACTCGCATTTAACAGACATTTCATTTGTTTGTATTTGGAAATATTCGCTGCGGAAATATTCTCTCTTCTTTCGTCATGTCTCCTTAATAATAAGCCAGTGGCCAGCTATGATTACAGCTAATTAAACCAACTAATTGTAATCACGTGCTAAGTCTGGCATTCGATTTACACCCAACCGGAAAACGATTGCATTGCAAAATTAGTCATTCGTGATGCATTGGAATAGACGTAATATCAAGCCAATAAAACAGAGTGTCAATTGTAATCGAGCAGCAAATTAAGTTGAATACAATTAAATTAAATTAAAGAAATGTGTTAAAGTTAAAAGATACAGCTGTGCAAATAGTTTAACTATGGAATAGTTAGGTAATTGTGATTAATTGGGGTTTAACATTTTAGTTTAGTTTTACAAGGTTTCATTTACATTGTTTATCGGTACACTGAGAGAAAAACGCACTGCAAAGCATCTTAAAATTTTTAATACATTTCTTAAACAAATATTCATAAGTTCTTGTAGTATGCATATAGATAGTTATACTTGAAAGTAAACTACAAGAAACGTATCAAGAAAGAATGCCCAAGTCGGTCTTGCCCGATTTGGGGTTTCCTAGAACCTTCTTCTTGGAGGTAGCTATAAACTGAAAGTTAAATAATCTGTATATACTAATCCAGAAGCTTAAAATCCAGCTCCAGCTCTTATAACCTAAGAAACTTGCTTAAAAAACAGTAGTTTGATATCGATTCTTATCGATTGCTTGGGCGTGGGGCAAGCTATCGGTTATCGGAATTATCGAAATTTCACGTCTGTAGCTTTTAAAGGTAACGAGATCGACGACTGTTCAGAGTACATACGGAAAGACAGACAGAGGGACGACTGGACGAACGGACGGACGGACGGGTAGACGGAGGGATAGACAGACGGACATGGCTTGGTTATCGATGCTGATCAAGAATATATCGATTTAATGGGGTCAGAGATGCTTCTTTCTGCTTGTTACATACATTTCCACACAACCAATATACCCTTTTAGCCCATTTTTAATGGGTTCATGGTATAAAAACAGCAAAAATGCTTGAATTAAGTAAAAACTATTTCTGATTTAAACTACAAAAAAAAGCTTGGAAAAAGAACAAAAATCTCAATCTTTAAAAAAGCCTAAATTTTAATTAATTGAAGTCAAACAAATCCTGAAATAAGTAAAGTAGGTCTTGCATTTTGGTCAAAAAAAAAGAAAACGTTTTTATGCAGAAATCTCGGCTAGTTTGAGACCTTGACCGAATTGCTATGGCTTATTGTCTGCTTCTTCTTCAAACTCTATGAATCATCTCAGCCAGAGTCTCAATTACATCTGATCCAATCGCATGTGTTGAAAATTGCACAGAAGAGGGAGGGGCATTGTATGTGGAGAAGGGGTCCAATTGGGGGACTTTACTGAACTTACGACACATCGGAAATACTGCTCCTTGCGCACGCTCGGCTCGACGCCCTTCTTGGTGCGTATCAACAGATAGATGGCATTCAGATTCGCGCAGCTGCGCAACAGTTTCTCCACGAGCACTTTGCCCATGAAGCCCGTGGCGCCCGTTATCAATATCGTTTTGCCCGCATAGAAATTGGCAATATCCGATACGCCGGTATCCGAATCGGCCTCGTTGTTCAGTAGCTCCATGCTGGGTGGGTTGCCGGGTTGACGAAGTGAGTCTGTGCTGCAAGAGAAGTAGAAGAGTTCAATTAGATCATATGCCATGGTCTGTCTGTTTGTGTATGTGCATGTGTGTGTGTGTGTGTGTGTGTGTGTGTGTGTGTGTGCACTTTGTTGTCATTGCAAATTAAGATCTAATACGGGGGCCACACTTGTTGAGTGTGTGCTTAACCCACTTACTCTGCAAATATTCTATTTCAATGTCAGCTTTTACGAAATACATATCCAACACAAAAAGCAGCAACAACAACAACAACAACAACAACAACAACTCGGCTGTAATTGGCGTGAAGGGATTTTCGACCTCTGTTTACACTTTTGTTTCCCAGCCAACGCCAGACTTCATTTGTTTTTATTGTTGTTGTGTTTGTTGTTGTACATTTATGTGGTTAAATAAACAGCATTCAGTTTAACAGGCAGCTCATTTATTTGCTTTTCGTTGTATTTAATTTTTTTGGTCAGCTTATTAAGACAACGCCGCTTATTTGGAAAGAAAGTAGCATGCTTAAATTTTAGATTTTATTGCCAACAACAATTGCTGCAATTAAGCAAATGCGGCTGTAAACCTAGTTTTGAGAGTTTTTAATAAAATTAATGCATAATTATGTGTGTGCGCGCCGAATATTTCAACAGCAATTAGAGGCAAAAGGTTACAGGTCAAAGGCTAATGCAATGTTAATGAACCAAAATGTTTGTGCTATTCAACAAAATTCTGTGAAATTTATGCGCCAGGCCCCTTTATTTTCGCGCTGGCAAAAAGCTTAAATATCTAATAATAGAATAAATAAATGAATAACCAGCTGGTTGACGCAATAAACAAAAACTACAATAACAATATTTCGCATGCCAAAGGCAAACGTTGCATGCGCCTTCTAGCCAAACAAAAGACTTGGAACACAAACTCGATTGGCTGCGCGGCCTGCGATATGCATCTATTGCAATATTTGCCATTAATTTTGGTGCCCCCCCCCCTCCTACCCCTTCTGCCCCTCTATGTAGATGCCGTTGCAGATTTTTTGTGCACACACACACACACACACACGCACAGAGAGAGACTTTGCGCCTGCCTCCGCTTCTCACGCTTCTGTCTTTGGGTCGGGTCAACAATACAAATGGATATTCACGTAATATTCACGAAATTATGACACTTTATTTGATTTTTGTTTTTTTTTTTTTTTTTTCATTTTCGCACTGTGAATTTGTGCATACTCTGTTTTTTTGTTTTAAGTTTTGGTTATTTTGTCGCTTTGTAAATTGTTTAAGTTGTGCATGCCACAGGCAGTCACAATGGCATAGTTCACAGTAGTTGCGTTTAAGGACCCAAATCAGTAACCATTTAGCGCCTAATTAGCGCATGCTTAACAAATACAGAAGCTCTTGGCGCTTTGTTTTCTTTAATAATTAACGCCGACGGCTAAACACAGACATTTTTTTGATTTATTTTATTTTATTTTTTGAGTAACTGAAACTCACTTTTAAAGTTGTATTTTTGTTGTTTTTAAGTTTGGCTGCTGCTGCTAAAAAATTGTTCGAATTGAATCAGTTGAGTACTCAGCCGCGACTGAATACAAAGCGGGCAATTGGCTTGAAGTTATACTCGCCGTAAAGGAAATTTAACGGCGTCACCACACACACACACACACACACACACACACACACGAACACACATGCACAGACGGGCACAGACATGATTTGCGGTACGTCTGTCGCAGCAGCTCTGTCTGTGTGGGTGTGTGTGTGTGTATGTTGTATGTATGCATGTTCGCATGCACTTGTATTTTAGTTGGATGCCACTTTCCGGGTAGTCCCAAAACCATTTTGAGGCCCGTCTCGACAACAATTACAGGGTATTTTAATGAAATCAATTAAAAGCCACTTGCGAATGTCTACATAAGTGCAAGGGCAGCATTTTTTGTGTCAAGCCACTCAAAAGTGAACAGAGAAAAATATATAAAACAAAATGTATAAGAAAAAGCCCAGAAAAAGGACAGGCCGCCGCCTCAGCTGCAGCCAAGGCCAGCGAGTCGAGTCGAGTTGGGCTTGATGCGACCCTAAAAGTGCATGTCATCCACATGCATGCATGCATACACATGCATGCATACATGCATACACATGCCTGCATGCATACACATGCATGCATATGCATGCGCATGCACACATGCGCAAAATCTGCATTTGGGAAAATACACCGTTTTTTATTTTTTTGGATTTTTTTCGGAACCTGCTCCATGGCAAAAATTGCGATTATAATAACAAAGAAAAAAGCTGTGCGACTGGTTAGTTAGCCCGAATCTTGAACAGATCCCGAACGGAGCGATGCCCCGCCTTCCAGCTAAAGATGGGTCTTGGTATTTCGCAAGCAATAAAACCAGAAATCACGGTGGGCGACCTTGACAACTGATTATTCACCTGATGCCCGTTACGTTTTCAATTTCGCTGGTTGTTGCCCCGTTTGGCAGCTAATAATAGAGCGTTCCTTTGATCGCGATGACATAAGCTGTTTATGTTTCACGCGCGAGGAAGGGACGGGGGCGGGGCGGGCGGGCGGGGCGGGGCGGGCTGGCGGGGGGGGCATACTAAGTGCTTCTGTAAACTGAGGAAGTTGTAGAATTTCGGCATAGACTTCTCACCAGCCCGCAAATTGTTTGGCTCAAAATTCGCTTCGATTTGTATTTTATATTTTCATTTGTAATCAAATGATGCGGAAAAGTTGTTGCTCATTTTAATTAGAGGTAAATCACAGTTTTTTTTTATTTTTTTTATTTTTATTTCTGTTTTATTTCTATATATAATAGTTGGGTCATAAATTTAATTGGCTTGCGTCTGAAATTTTGAATGTATTTAAATGCAATATATATTGAAATTAATGAAAATTAATTTGCAGCCGCTCGCTAAAATACATTTTTTTTTATTTGATTTCTAATTGCTTTAATCTAATTGAATTTCAATCGGTTTCCAGTTTCATAAGTCAAACAGCTGCTGGAATTTAAAAGTAATTTTTTCGAATTAATCGCCAACTATTTAGTTAGTTAGTTTGAACTAGGGTCAAGCAGCTTTTGGTAAATACTTTTGATGCTTGTATATAAATATGGGTTTGGTAATAAAATAGAGGTGTGCTCCTCTTCCACTCAAGACTGGGCTGGCGCGTTATGGATCTTGGGCAAATATGTGCTTCTAAATGGTTAACTGCTTTCCTGGTATTTTTGTTGTTGTTGTTGTTGTTGTTTTTTTTTTACCTACTTTACGCACACCTCAACGACTTTTTAATTAGGCGCCGGGCCTCAGCTGTTTTCCACTCAAAACAAGTTGAAATCGTATGAATTACAAACTAACTAAATGAATTAAATATGGAATGCATTGTAAAAACGAGTTTTCAATTCACAACTTAAGATACATATGTCTGGTTGGATACTAAGACTGACAATTAAATCACTTTATCACTTTATCTCAATGTAGTTTAAATTCGTTTTTGAATTCCTTAAATTCCTGTTTCTTATGATTCTCTCAGCAGCTAATGCTTGGTATCTTCCCCAAGCCAAACATCTATTAATACACCTTCACAGGGTATCTCATAGTCGAGCTGCTTGTCGCAGGCTCGTCATCAAATTTTGAGTCGAACTACTTTTGAACTAAACTACGTTTTAAGTGATATGTGTTTTAGAAACCTTTATTAACAACTTACAAGCTAATAATATTCATTGAGTGCTTATTAAACAGCCGCGTTTAATATTCTAAACAAATGCACAATATATTGTATATTATCCAATAATATCTCAGCTCGGAAAACCGGTTGAGTCTAAAGCAACAGCTCGAGAGATTCGAATGCAGTTGTAAATGTTACAAAATCCTTGTCAGATTTTTGCATAATGCCGCTAGATAAATACGGAAAAACAAACAGAATATATACTAATTTTCAAATAGTTAATAGTACTTGATGTCAACAATTTTATTAAAAAGTGTTTGTTTAACTTTTATCAATTAAAATAAATAAAATAATAAAAAAAAACTAGGCGAGGATCTAAGTAGAAATCTCAATATGTACTCAATTACATTCGAATCACTCATCTATGTAAAAAATTTAAATGAGTACTCGACTCGTTGTAATAGATACAAAGTCGCATTTCCGAATCCATTAAGTCGATTCGATCGAACGCGTGAGTCACAAATGTGAGTTCCCCCAACGGCACGCGGAAATCATTTTAACATAAATTATCGATAACCGCCTACTCTATGCAGAAATCGATAAATTTATTGAGTGCTTTTTTTTGAACCGAATATCCGGCTGAAAGCTTAACTACGACTGGGAACCACTTTCGATTTGTATATTTCCTTATGATTACAAAGCATATAACCCGTTCTTGAAATTCCATTTAGTAATATGTGTATATAGATAGACTCTACTATATATATATGATTGATATATGGTATGTATATTTTAAAAACAAAACAGAAATTCGCAACGAATTAAATTAGAGCATTTTTATCGAAACAAAATTCATGCAATTAGATTAAAGTTTTAACAGCTAAAACTATTTTTGAAAATTAGAGTCCTGACTTGAAAATATGGAGAACAATGACAAATGGATATATTCAATCGTTTAGTAGCTGCGTCCGAACAGCGTGTAGAACTTGGGCTTGTTTGTGCAGGCGGGATTGATGCACTTGTCGCTGTCGACAATCTTCGCGGGCTGGTCGAAGGGTATGCACAGCGTCTTGGCGCCCATGGCCGGTGCGCCGGGTTCGGCCTCCTCGCCGCGTGCACTGTCCGCTTTGATTTTGTCCTCGCAGGCCGTGTCGCCGCAGAAGGCGGCGAGCAGCATATTCTTGTTTTCCAGCTGGTTGCAGAAGTCGGTCCAGTTGCTGACAATCTTCGTGTGCGACACCAGATCCAGCTGCGCCTTGGCTAGCATGCTCTCGTGTATGGTTTCGAGCAGAGCGGGAATTTTCTTTTCCACATCGGCCAGGGCAATGGTCAGCTTTTCACCGGTGTCACGGCGCACAGCGACAATCTGTTTGGCCTGCATATCCTTGGGGCCCAGCTCGATGCGTATGGGCACACCCTTGAGCTCCCAGTGATTGAACTTCCAGCCGGGCGAGTAATTGTCACGGTAATCGCCCTCGCAGCGCACGCCGGCGCCATTCAAACGCTTCTCCAGCTTGTCACAAGCCGCCAGCAGCTGGGCGCGCTCATCGTCCTTGGTGTTCACCGTAATGCCGCAAGGCACGATAATAGCCTGCACGCAGGCCACATGCGGCGGCAGCACCAGGCCCTGATTATCCGCATGCACCATAATCATGACGCCAATCGTGCGCGTGGTAATGCCCCACGAGTTCTGGTAGACATACTGCTTCTGCTGCGTCTCCGGATCCTCGTACACAATCTCGAACATCTTGGAGAAGTTCTGGCCCAAGTGGTGACTGGTCGCACCCTGAATGGCACGGCCCGAGGCCGAAATGAATGCCTCCACTGTCGTGGTATAGTCACCGCCGGCGAACTTCTCCTTTTCGGTTTTGCGCCCCTTCACGACGGGTATGGCCAGCAGATCCGTATAGACTTGCGCGTATAAATCTAAAATCTCTAGAACTTCCTTGTCGGCCTCGGCCTTACTGGCGAACGCCGTGTGGCCCTCCTGCCAGAGGAACTCGCGTGTGCGCAGGAATGGTTGCGGATGCTTGAATTCCCAGCGCTGTGAAAAATAACCTGGTGAGGATCTTGGATCATGGATCAAGGCATTCGGTATACTCACCACAACATTGTTCCACTGATTGAGGCGGATGGGCAAATCTCTATAGGATTGTATCCACTTGGCATAGGCGGGGTACATAACAGTTTCCGAGGTGGGACGCACAGCAATTGGTTCGGCCAAGTCGGAATCACCCGACTTGGTTACCCAGGCCACTTCTGGGGCAAAGTCCGCTATGTGGGTCTTCTCACGCTCCAGCGCCGCCTTTGATACAAAAATGGGGAAGTAGCACTCCTTGACGCCCATACGCGTGATCTCCGCATCGAACCAGTTCCTGATGCACTTCCAAATGGCAAAGGACCAATGGCGCAGTATATAGCAGCCGGACACATCGTAGTATTCAATCAGTTCACCCTTGGTTATCACCTGCGAGTACCAATCCGGCAGATTGTCCTCTTTCGTCGCCTCCAGACCCAAACGGGTTTGTTTCTTCACGCCAGCAGCGGCATCTGGTTTGGCAGCAACAGCAGCTGCCGCTTCTTTCTTGGCTGGCTTTGCCGCCTTCTGCTGTGGCTCTTTGGGCGCCTTCTTGACGGCGCCGCCGCCGCCCCCTCCAGCTCGACCAGCAACGGGAAAATCGGTGCCCGTAACCTCCTTGTACTTGGCCTTAAGCGCCAGCAGCTTGCGCACCTCCTCGTCGATGACATCCTTCGCAGCATTGCTGCCCTTGGCGTTGCGCACCTTTTCGCCCTGCGCATTAATGTCCAGCGTCAGCTGCTCCTTCTCCGACGTGGCCATCTCCACTTTAGCCTCGACCTTGGCGTCGGGTGTCCAATCCTTGCCCGTTAGCTTTTTGTAATCCGCCTTCAGAGCCAGCAGCGTTTGTACCTCCGGATCGATTGTGGCCTTGGCTGCCTTTGCCGACTTTAGCTGACGAATTTTATCGCCCTGCGCTTGAATCTTGGCCAAGATGCTGGCAATGTCGCCGCCGCCAACGCTGGGCTCGTCGTCAGCAGTCAGGTCAACGGTCGCAACAGGTGCAGCTGCTGCAGCCGTGGGCGCTACGGTGCCTGGCTTCCACTCCTGACCAGTCAGACTTTTGTAGTCCGTCTTCAGAGCCAAGAGCAGCTTTACCTCGGCGTCGATCAGCGATTTTTCCGACTTCGCCGACTTCAGTTGTCGTATCTTGTCACCCTGCTGCGCGATCTTGTCCAGCAATGTGGCCACGGCACTGGCCGCAACGGGTTCCGGTGACTTTTCCTGCTTAACCTTGATGACGGCAGGCTCTGTGGTACCTGGCTTCCAGTCGCTGCCGCTGAGCTGCTTGTAGTCGGCCTTTAAGCTGAGTAGCGTCTTGACAGCGGCATCGATTGCGGCCTTGTCCGCCTTGGCTGTCTTCAGATCGCGCACCTTGTCGCCCTGGGCAGCTATTTGGGCCAGCACAGAGGCAACGTCTGTGGAGGCTGCAGTGGAGGCAGGAGTTGCGACTACGGTGCCTGGCTTCCAATCCTGTCCAGTCAGAGTCTTATACTGAGCCTTCAGCTCCAGCAATTGCTTGACAGCTGCGTCAATTTCTGGCTTGGCCGCCTTCTTGTTCTTCAGCTCGCGCACCAGATCTCCCTGCTTGACAATGCTGGCATTAACGGCAACTGCGTCGTTATTGGTTGCACCTGTGGCAGGTGCAGCAGCGGGTGCAGCTTGTCCTGGCTTCCAATCCTTGCCGCTAGCTGCCTTGTAGTCCTCCTTCAGGCTGAGCAGTTGCTTGACTGCAACATCGATTTGGTCTTTGGCTGCCTTCTTGGCCTTCAGCTCGCGCACCAGATCGCCCTGCTGGCCAATCTTTTTGTCCAATTCGGCCGTATTATTCGTGGTCTTATTGCTGGCAGCCTGCAAACACGAAAATTAGCCCAAGTCTAGTTAAAATAATGCAAATGAAGCACTCGAAAGTCTTTTGAGTACGTGTCAACAATTTTACTTTCAACTTCGCTTGCTTCTTCTTCTTTCTGTTTGTTCAGCAGAAGCTATCGAAAGAAACGAACCGATCGCAGCGCCGTCTGCAGCCAACTGGTTTTTGGCCCTTGTCACTTGACGTTCGAGATGAGCAACAGAGACGAAACTGTGACTGCGATCGCTGTGAGTAACTAGTAACTATTCCGTGACTGAAAACTGTGAAAACTCTGCTGACTGCGTAGTATTTATATATATATTTTTTTTAATTTAACTGAATTTGTTTAACTCAATTAAAAAGCAGTTTATGAAACCAAAAAAATGTTTAAATATTTGTCTATTACTTTTACTTTTAATAATTTTACTGTCTAATTGCGGAAATGCCCTTCTATGCGATTCTCATGATTTCAAGTACAGTTCTTTGTCCTCTCTAAATTGAACTCACATTGACATTCTGCCTGACTTACTTATTATGTGAAAAATCTGCTGATTTCAAGATTTTAAGTACAGTTCTATACTCTCTAAAATTAATATTCTCTTTAACTCTCATCCAACTAAAGTACACCAAGTCTCACTCTTTCTCTCCTCATTTACCTCAATAATCTGAATCCCTCATTCTTAGTTGGACCTTTCTCTCTCTGCAATCGATTTTTTAAATAACGCTAAGCTCGTCTTCTACACTTTTACAGGGTATCTCCCACACTACACTCGAATACGAATTGCCAGATTGTACTCACATTTGTTTTGGCAGCCGGCGTCAGAGCAGCGTTGACCTTAAGACCCGAGGAGGGCATGTCCTTTGTGTGGCCATCGGGTATGGAGAAGAGTATGATGGGCGAGGCGACATTTGTGTAGCGACTGGGCGGGGCATATGCGTTGTCCACCTTGAAGAAGCCGCGACGCTGCAGCTGAATGATGTCGCCCTTTTTGCATTTCTTGAGCTCGGGATCGCCGAGCATCTGGACTTCGTCGCGCGTCTTGTGGCCGATGTACTGCTTGAAGTCCTCGTCCTTGCCCAGGACCGCTTTGCTGATGATGTTGTCAAAGTAGACGCAAAACGTGGGCGGATAGGCGCTGGCATCGTCTTCTACAGCGAGCCAGGTGAGTTTCAGGGTCTTCTTAAAGTCCTTGTTGTCCAAATTAAGCGCTGCATCCACCGAGGTGATGGCGCCGCTGGCATCCTTGTGCACCTTCTTGATGAGCAAATTGCCCCAGTTGATGAAGGTCGCGTTCTCGCCCTCTTTGAGCGCCTCAGCGTCCGCATAGTCAATGTAAATGCGCGGACCCAATGTGACCGTCTTTGTGCCGAGTTTCTCGTCCTTGGGATGCACAGGCACCTGTACCTTCTCCAATTTGGCACCTGCCACGTTCACAATGATACGCTTGTCGTGCTCGAGGGCCGTGTAACGTGGCGCAATGGGATCAATGACCTTCTTGTTGAACGCCCAGATCTTATCCCAGTTCATAAAGACCACCGATTTGCTGCTACCCTGGGCAATGATGAACTCCTTGAGCCCCTCGACCGTCATGCCACGTCGTATGACGCCGCGCACCGTGGGAAAACGTGGATCGTCCCAGCCATCCACCAGGCCCGATTCCACAAACCAGGTGAGCTTCCGTTTCGACAGCACCGTATTCGTCATATTAAGCCGACTGTATTCCCAGATGTAAGGCTTGCGCAGCTTAAGTGCATCGATAAACCAATAGAACTGATCGTCTCGGTCGTGGTACTCCATGGTGCGCAGTGTGTGCGTCACATTCTCAATGGCATCCACAATAGGGCAGGCAAAGTCATAGGTAGGGTAGACCCTGAGGATTAGAAACAGGCAATCGGTCAATTACATCCGGAAGATGGGTACAGGGTATCTCCTCACTTGTATTTGGTGCCTGTGCGCGGATGGGGCTCGTTCTTGCAGCGATATATGGTCGGATCACGCATGCAACCGTTGGGCGAGGACATGTCAATCTTGGCGCGCACACAGCACTTTTGGCCAGCCTCGGTGCCCTGCAGCATCTGCTGCCACAGCGACAGATTCTTGTCAACAGCTAAAGAAGATGTTTTGGATTACAAAATCAAAGAACTTAACAAAGATTTGAGCACTTACAGTTGGAACGATTCGCGGACTCGACGCGCTGTTCACGTTCCAGCTTCATTTGCTCGGGCGGCGTATCGTCCACGTAGGCCTTGCCCTCCTTCAACATTTGTACGCAGTATTCAAGCATGAGATCAAAGTAGTTGGAGGTGTGCGTGAAGACGTCCGGCTTGATCTGCAACAGCTCCAGATCCCCGAGTATGACATTCTCGAATTCTACAGTCTCTTTGGCAGGATTGGTGTCGTCGAAACGCATTATCAGTTTACCCTGGAAGGCCAGGGCGTAGTATTGATTGAGCAGCGCCGCCTTTGCGTGTCCAATGTGCAAATAACCAGAAGCCTCCGGCGGGAAGCGTACTACAACCTTGCCCATCTCAGCGCCCGGCAGTTCGACAAATTTGCCCTCCTGCTTGCGCTCGCCGCTCTTTGCCGCGGGCTCATTGGTGCTACGCTTGACGCGCGCCTCCTCCGGTAGGGATTGCAATACCTTCTGTATCAGGGGCTGGGCACTGATCAGATCATACCAGCGCTGCACGTGCTGTGGTATGCCCTTGGCGGAGAGGAACTCGTAGCGCGAGTGCATTTCATTGAACAGGGCAAAGTCGGCAATGGTCAGCTTATTGGCAACCAAATACGTAACGGGCGCAATGGACTTGTCCAGGAAGGACATGGCCCACGATATGTCATCCTCGCAGGTGAGCGAGAACGACAGCCAGTGATCGATCTGTGTGCGCTCAATCGCCGTCTCGCCATATAGCTTGTGATCGGGTGCAGCACGTGCCAGCGCGCGCAGCACGTCGTTGTTCGAGTGGCAAACCAGGAGGCGGTTGTCCGGGAACTGCAACGAGGTTTCCTTGCTCCAAACAATTTCCACGGGCACCGATGAGTTGATCAAATGCGCCGTTGCCAAACCGCCTGAATGTATAGGGGCAAGTGTTATTTAATTGATACAAAACTGATGCAATCCGATATATTCTGTGCATAAATAGATTTAAGAGCAGGCAATACCGAATTTAACCATAACCTCACAATATTGCAGGCGCTCAGTTCACTAAATTACGCCCTAACGGTACTCACTTATGGGTGGATTGTTAACGTTTGCCTTTAGTTTAATAGACATTTTGCCTATATTCGTATATTCGTTTGCAAACTAAACTCAAATTATGAAATTGTTCGACTTATATGCAAGTGCACGGCAAGCTGCCACAACGTCGCTTTTATTTTTATGAGCGAGGAACTAAATCAATGAACTAGATCCGTTTGCAAAAAAAATGGAAATACTGAATAGCTCTAGTGTCATTCCCTATTTCGATTTAATGCTGTGAACAGCTGTTTGAAATCTATTTAAAGGCCTTTACGTTAGACAACAAATTTTAAGTATTATTGGAATAATTAAATAGGGTGTTGTTTAAATGATTGCTAACATGTTGAATCAAATATTTAGCAGGCTAGGTATTAATCGATTTTTATTTTTGTTAATCGATAGTTGAGATGTTTTGCCATTCACAGTAAAATGTGCTACAGCTGTTTTAGTGCTTTCACAGTGACTGTCAAAATTGGTTGAAGAAGCATTTTTTCTTGATGTGCTGAGTGAAAAATTAAGAGCTTTGCTAATATTTTTTGTATTTGCGGCGCTAAAAACCTAAAAACTCACAGCTGCAACAGTTAAAATGGTAAGTCAATTGAGGCTTATAAAAGTTTTGCTTAAGTAAATGTAAAAATGAAGCCTTAAGCGCTGCCGTCTTGCTACGCTGGCCAATTGCACACCTGAGTCACCTTTTTAAGGTGCAGAACGCGAGGTCTTCCGACTTATTTACCGCTGCTAATTGGTGTATTTATGCGTTATAGATGCTTTTCATGCTGCTGTTCAGCCGTCAGGGCAAATTGCGGCTGCAAAAATGGTATATGGCCTATCCGGACAAGACCAAAAAGAAGATAACACGTGAGCTGGTCACAACGATATTGGCGCGCAAGCCCAAGATGTGCTCGTTTCTCGAGTGGAAGGATTGCAAAATAGTCTACAAACGGTATGTATAAACTGTTGTTATTCACAGCCAACTGTTGTGTTTGACTATTTTGTGTTATTATTGCAGCTATGCCAGCTTGTATTTCTGCTGCGCCATCGAGCAGAACGACAACGAGCTGCTGACACTGGAGATAATCCATCGCTATGTCGAGCTGCTGGATAAGTATTTTGGCAGCGTAAGCTATATCATAATATTATATATTGTCTGTTCAGTAATGTGTTCATGTCGCTTGCAGGTCTGTGAATTGGATATCATATTCAATTTTGAGAAAGCGTATTTCATTCTGGATGAGTTGTTGATCGGCGGCGAGATACAGGAGACATCGAAGAAGAATGTCCTGAAAGCGATCGCCTCACAGGATCTGCTACAAGAGGTCAGTACACCCGAGATATATGAACTATAATGTTGTATATATATAAGAATATCTTTATATATGCCGGATATATTGTTAATTGTTCCACATATCTATGCAATACGCTGGTTTATCAATTTTGTTCTCTCTTTTTTTTTTTATTACCTTTGTTTTCATGCAACTTTTTAAAAAGTCATTTCATGCATATATCACTCGTTTCAAGTTCTACTACTTAATTATTGTTTTGACTTTCTCTACTCTTCTGTAATTTGTGCAAACGAAACTAATCGACTCTCTCTCTCTCTCTATATATATATATATATATACATCTAACTGAATTTTATGATATTGAACACCAAAAAACGAACAGCAAGAAGAGTTCTTTTACTCACTGCAATAGCCAACTATTTACGCAATTATATTACTTAATTATTATGCTTAAGTTTAATTAATTTGTAAACAGATTTTATGATTTGCGTATATGATTTGTCAATGCATGCCACAGGCGCGTCTCTCAATTGAATGTTCCGAAACAACTTGCCAGCAAGAAACAAAAAACATTTCCAAGAAAAGTAATTGAATGCGTTTTATCACAAGTATTTAGCTTGCCATAATTGTTAAACCCATAGAAAGTTATTCAACTTAGTTCCGTCCATTTAACGTATATATATATATCTATAAATATATTGCCATTAATTAAATTGTAGTCAAATGTGTATGTAGTACAATTTGTGTATTGTTGTTCTTATCCAAAACTAAACATTAACGAGAAGGTATCAAGTTATTTGTTTTGCATGATCTTTGTAGCTTGTTCCATGGTTCCATGCCACGTTTTTCGTAGTACTCTAATCGACTAACTAACTAAATTTAATCAAGACACACAAAAACTTATATCTAAATGTGTAACCATAATACCCTCTCTCTTGTTATTATTATTAACGCTTGCCCCACCCGCCACTGCATATATCGATGTTAATACAACCATCAACAGGACTTCAATGAGTATTTAAACTAATCAGAAAAACACAAAAAAAGGATGCCTAGAAAACAATAATAATATCAAAATAAAGAGAATCCTTTTACCAAATAACAGTTTATAGGTTTGCTGAGCCTTGTAAGAACCCGCTTTAGTCAGGATTTATTTTTTCGTTTAACTGTCAAAGTCCTTTCGTTAACAAAGTCAAGGTTGTAAATATATATATTGCCAAGCTTTTTTTTTAATCTGTTTTGTGGCCGGCCGCACACATACATACATAAGAGATTGTGTTCGCTGCAATGCGTAGTTTGTGTACCGTTACGCCCTGCCCACGCCACGCCCCGTGCGCTTGCAATACATACGCATACACATACATACCATGTACAAATAACTGTTTACGCATTGCTCACGCAACGTTACAACGAGCTACATACCAAAAGCTGTGACGTGCTCTTCTTCTTTTAACAACAACAACAACATGCAACACATGAACTAAAAGTAAATCAAATTCACACGCACACACACATACACATACACTCACACAGCTGCTACACGTACACGTACACGTACACGTTTTTTCTATGTATCTACTCTTCTTGTTCTTATTGTTCTTATTCTCTGTACTCCAGGACGAAGCTGTTGAGGGCACTTTAAGAGACATTGGACTACTCTAAAAGAAAGCCAATACGTAGAATGTAGTTGTTATTACACACAAATGCAAACATGCACGCACGCCCACACACACACAAACACGCACACGCACACACACAGACGCACAGACACATTCATGTTAACATAAGTACTTAGCTGCAGCAATATGTGTGCACACATTCACACCTTACATCGTATGTAAAGTAAAAACTTTGTGTGTGTGTGTGCGTGTGTGCCTTAAAGTTAAACTATAGAACATAATTTGGATTTCACAAATAAACAACAAAGTGCAATTAGTATTTTCACACAGCGAGTCTAAAAATAGAAAAGAAAAAAAAAACAGTTAAGAGCAAAGTGCATAGCTAATACAACAACCATCTGGCGCGGTCGTCCCCCCTCACCCTTAGTCTTGAGTAAAGTTCATGCAAAACGCAAATACCCAACATTTAAAGTAACTTCACAATCATTTAAATTTAGAAAATCATTCAAAAAAAAAAAAAACGAAAGCAATATTGTTTTTTCAAAACTTCTAAATGGGCAATAACTAGGGAAGAAGCAAAAAATGCAATACATAGAAAAAGTAAGCTTTAAATTCGTCAAAAAAAAAAAAAATATGCGGAAAATGAAATGAAAACTGAAAATGTAAAACTCTTAGTAGTAAATAATATATATATATATATATACACATATATATTTAAAAAGAAAAACCAATAGTTTATATAATTTTAACTGTCTATATATATATACTTATGTGTGTTGTACAATTTAGCCAAATTCCTGTGTTTTGTATACAATAATAAAAACAAACGAAATATTTAAAAAACAAAAAAAAAAAGACCAAAATTGTATGTATGTATTTGTATGTAAAAACTATGTACTTAATATGCTTAGAGGTAAGGTTGAACGGTGATCGTTTTTTATTATTCTTATATTTATTTAAATCGAACCTACTTTTAGTTTAATACTATTTTGTTGTTGTGCCTTATGATTGCTGCTGCCTCTTCTCTCTGTTCTCTGCCCCCCTTTCACTTGCTCTACGCCTTGCTCTACGAATACTCTGTCTAAATATACTCTATCGAAATTGGTGTCGCATAGCTTAGTGTTTATTTAGTTAACATTTGAAATATGTTTGTGTTCAATTGATTTTCCCTTTTTGTTGGAAACCTACACATCGATGTTGAAAATTCCGAGTACATATAGATAATGAAGAACGCATTTCCATTTTACAGGATGAAACACCGCAAAGTTTCTTTGACGATCATGGCCTTGGCTAAAATGGCTAAAATCCAACAAAATGCGAATCCCTAACCATGAAAGTCGCCTTAATGTATGCGTGTATTTCTACTACTTGTATTCAACATAACCTAAAAAGTATATATGTCGTAAATGTCTTATTTTTTTTTTGTTCTAATGATTATTCCGTTACCAGCTGCAAATTTGTACACACACACACACACACACACACACACACACACACACACAAATGCTGTTAAACACATATTTATTCAAATGTACTCGTAGCCTATTCCATACAAAAACGCAAATGTAATTTGCCAACATTAAAACACACATACTTTAAAAATGAACATAAACAAAACAAAAAACTAATGCACATTTAACAACAAAGCCTTGTTGTAACCCTACGTATTGCCGTCTACAAGCCTCAAGGCGCTGGATTTTGAATAGATCGTTAAACGTTCCACATTCTTATAGATGGAACTAAAGTATGTAGTTAATGTAAACGTACTAAAAACTTGCGTGCTCAAATATATATACAAAATATATAGTAATATATATATATATTAATAACTTATACATTTCATAGCTGCGCACAATAATGAAGCTTCATTTTTTTTGCTGCTGACTAAAATTTGTTACACTTAAATGCAAATAAAAATCAAATTTATTTAGAAAACGTTTTCTTATATACATAATCCATCTAAAACTGGTCACACTGCACAATACCGATAAGTCGATTTAAGTCCCAAATTGATTTGTGTCTTGGCTAGAAAATGTTGCTGTCCACACTTAACTCAAGGAGCCGCTGCATACTTAACGTAGTAACTGCCGTTATTGTTCCAATTGGATTCGTATTGTTAAGGAAGTATACAGTTGAGCAAATAGTTTTGCTAATATAGGGTATTTAAGTATCTGACACTTACAGCTAGTTAAATAGATAAGACAGCGTTAATTCTTATTTGTTTCAGCTAAACAGTAATTTAATTTATGAATATTTATCAAAATAACGTGCTGTTCTATTTATTACGATATATTGCTTATTAATCGTTTGATGCTGGTTGCCTCTCGATATATATCGATATATACAATCGATGGCAGATTACAACTTTCATCTGCCGAAAAGATGAAACCATGGGCGAGCGCCTGAGAGAGAGAGAGAGAGAGCGAGAGAGCATGAAATGAAAGCAAAGATAAAGAGCGAGAGCGCGCAAATGAGAGAATGTGGGCAATACTCCCGCTATTTTCCCGCTGTTGTTGGTGGGACTTTCCGCTGCGGCCGCCAAAAATATTTCAACACGCCGAATTTGCGGCCAGCAGCAGCAGCAGCAGCAGCCGAGTGTCGAGGCTAGCGAACGTTGAACAGTTTTCGGCCCCAGTCAGAGCGCACCATCGTCTTCAGCGAAGCACAAGCACACACAACCACTAGGTGTGTGCTCTTTGTACGTTACGGGGGCACTCTGCCACACACAGAGAAGAATTTTCATTTTCACATACCATACACAGCAATGTAGGAAAAATGTACAAGAAAAAAAGAAAAACTTGAAAAACTTGTACATTCGAATTGTGTGAAAATTTTCCATTTAACCAATAAGTTTCGTTTATTGCTCCCAGTGCACAATTACGGAAAATCTGAATACGCGAAAAAACAAAAAAATACAAAACGTAACCAAAAATTGAAAATCCAGTGCTAAAATTCCCAAAAACGCCTGACAAAATGACGAACAATTTGCCAAACGCAGTCGCAGCAGCAGTGAAAATTTTTTAAGTCCCGCAGCGGAGATGTGTTAACCAAAATGAAAATGAAAATGAAAATGGAAAATGGAAAATAATTGTGCAAATTTGCAGTGGCAGCAGCAGTTTCAGTTTTGCGAATTGCCGTCGTCTACGTTGTCCAGCAAAAATATATGGTACATACATTTTGTATCTGCGCGTGTGCCTGCCTGCCTGTGTGTCTGTGTGCGTATGTGTGCATGTGTGTGTGCGTGAAAATTACGTTGTCATATGTGCAAAGTTCGCCAGCGTAGGCTGAACATCTCATGCAGCCAATGCAAAACAAAATTTCGAAATGCAATTCTTAAAACTTAAATCGAGGACTGTTTGGTTTTTTGTTTGTTTTTTTTTTTTCGAAAATTCAAGGACTCTGCTTTAAATGTGTGTGTGTGTGTGTGGGAGTGTGTATGTGTGGCGAGGAGTCAACGCAGCACAGGAGCAGCCGAGGCAGCAAGAAAAAAATTCTCTATCTATTGCGATTTGCTCATGCGGCTCGAAAAGAGCGAGGCGCACAACGTACCTAGAGAGAGAGAGCGACAGAGAGAGAGAGAGCGAGAGCGAGAGAGAGTGAGAGTGGGGCAGTGGGTGCAAAGTGTTGCGGCTGCTGCCTGTGTGCATATGTATGTATACATGCGTTCCACACACACACACACACGCACACGTATGTAAATATGTATGTGTGTGAGTGCGCTCATCTCGAGCTGCCCAATTTCTAGCCTCAGCATCATCATCAATAATTTCATTTTATTTCAATAACGAAAGCAAGAGAAAAACATGAAACCAAAATTTATGCGGCATTAACCCCATCAATGCCACAAGCAGCAGCATTTTGTTGCAAAAATTTCATTTGTGTGTGTGTGTGTGTTCCATTGTTCTTTGTTTCCTTTTGTGGCGCTTTTCGAAGTGATTTATCCTTAAACTTGGCAACTTTTTGCACACTGTTTCGCCTCGGCCATGCTGTGGTGAATTGGCCACTGCGCAGGCCACCTGGTGACCAGGACATGAACTAAGCCTCCCACGTCGACGTCTTTGTGTCATATTTGGCTCATACAATTATAATTACATACATATATACAGACATGTATATATATACATGTATGTGTGCATATTACGTATGTATGTATGTGTGTGTGTGTGTGTACAATGGATTAGTATATCTGTACAGATTGTGGCTGTTGCTGGTCCGTTTTCATATTGTCATAAAGCTGAAAATTTCAAGTGTGGCATCTATTATTAGAATTTGTATGAGTTAATGGTCAAGCTTTGCCGATTGTCCTTGGCCGAACGGGGAGCCCTGGCTTGTGCTGTGCGTGGGCGTTATAGAAGCACCCACACATACAGTCACACATACACACACACACTCACACACACTGGCACACAATCAGGCATACGGTTCAGTGTTTCCCAAGAAATGCCAACTATGCGGTCATCATTGCTGCTCCTGTTTATGCTCTAAGAATTCTGGATTCTGTGTTGCATACTTATTGGGGCAGTTGCTGGATAACTCGCTGAATTTTCATTCAATATTCGCTTTTGTGCAACTATAAAATGTTAAATGCAATTTCCAACGGGGTAGTATAACTTTCTCAGTCTCTCTCTCTCGCTCGCTCGCTCTTACTATCCAGTCGCCTGCAGTCGCTATCGTTCGTTCGTTCGTTCGTTCGTTTGTTCGTTCGGGCTATCTCTTGACACGCTGTTGATATCATATTTTTGCCAGTTTTATTATTATATGATGCCTACTACTTTCAATATGTGCGTGGAGTGTGGGGGATAGGCATGCTCAAATAACGGGTATTGCTGCTCAAACACAAACTCACCACGCATAGCCACGCTCCCACACTCGCGCACGCTCGCTCTCCCTCTCCCACTCCCACTCCCTCGCTCCCTTGCTCGCTCTCGTTTGGTGGGCGCTCGAAAACTCCCGCTAGTGTATATTATGTTATCTCGAAACTTTTATTGCCTGTCGTTTGGGGGTGCGGCGCCCACGTATGCGAAAAGGAGGCAGCACCAAGAACGAAAAAGCATACTCCAACTGCGGGTCTCGAGCCGAACTAACATGCCAATATATTCGCTGCTGTTGTGAACGTTAATTCAAACAGAAAAAAAAAAAACACAAATGGAACGCGACGGACCAATTGAAATGTCTATAAATATGCACATATATGAATTGAATTTTTAAGCAAGTGTTTTAATGTGCCAATTGATTTTCAGTGCAGCGCTTGAAGCAAAAGTCACCGTTAATTGTAAATAAGTAACAAAAAGTATAACAACAAACACTCCACCAAACTCGAGACCTATAGTAAACAAAAATAATTATAAATATACAACAAAAACAACAAAAACAAAAATGATCTACATATTTAGAACCCAATAACTATTATTAAATGTAAATAACAACGTAGCCTTCAAACTATAACTAAAACAAGAACAAAAAAACCCCTACAAGAATTTATAATATAAACGATATTATATGAAATAAATAGTTATTGCTGCTAATTAAGAACAAAGTGCGGGCGCAGAGGCGCAACATTCCGGCAAACAAATGTCTGGATAAAAACAAAAACCAGTTAACCAATGGATGAAAATGCAGCCGTCGTCGTCATTTTTGTCGTCGTCGTCGTTGTCCATTTGTCATCGCTTTTGTCAGCAGCCTCAGCAGCAACAGCAGCAGCAGCAGCAGCAACAGCCGGATCCGGATCAGCCGCTGCAACAACAACAACAGCAACAACAACCTCAAGAGCAACAAAAACACCAAAGGGCCGCAGCAGCCGCAGCAGTTGCAGCAGTTCAGCAGCAGTTGGCGACACAGGCAGCAGCAGCAGCAGCAGCAGCAGCAGCAGCAGGTGGAGGAGGAGGAGTAGGAGGTGCATTCTACACAGCACACGCCCACTTTTGTACGCCCAAATTGCCGCAAACGCTGCCGCTGGCCAGCTCAAGCCGAAGCCCAAGCACTCTGCCACTGCCTCAGCTGGCTGCGGCTTAGTACGCACCAGTTTCTACAGTTAGTTGGCTTGCCAAAATTCATTCTAAAGGAGCTCAATTAAGCACCACAGCCCATCGCACAAGCAACAAGCAACAACAACACCAAATAAAGCACAAACGCTTCAACAACAACATCTACAATAACAACAACTACAACAACAATAACATAATAACAATAGACAGCACACAAAGTCTCGTGCCAATTGAAACCGCAACACAACAAACCAACAACAACAACAACAACAACAACAACTACAACTACAAGAACAACAACGCCAACAACTTTAAACGGAGCTTTTCGAACGGCGCCCGGCAGCTGTAGCTCTAACGGTAGATGACAAACAAAATGGCGGATGGTGGGCATTCATTTGTGAAGAAGACATTTCATAAGCCAACTTATTGTCACCACTGCTCGGATCTACTGTGGGGCCTCATACAGCAGGGCTACATATGCGAGGGTGAGTACAAATTACCGTTAACGCAAACCGTTAAATATCCCAAACGATCGCATTATGATAAATCCATTCAATAAATATCCCAAGGGAACTTTAAGTAAGTACCTACATTCAGTGAAAGCTCTCTTGAGTGAAAAGTTGGAAGTTTTTTCTGCTTTTGAGGAGAAAATAAGCTAGGAAATCTACATAAATTGGGCTTCCTTACGTTTTTGAATATAATTTGAAATAGTTGATTTTGCTTTATAAGAAAAATTACTGTTTATTTCTATAAAAGTACACATATTCCCAAATTTCCGACCGATTCTCTATGGAGCTTTATGATAAAGCAGTCTGAGACTAGTTTAGTTTAGTTTCTCTGGAAAGACATTCCCATGGCATCTATCTGAGATAGAGGTCCGACCATTTGTATTGTCTGCAGAAGAAAGACGGATCTAATTTCCATAACGATAAATTTAAAACTGAAAGACTTGATTGCATAGAATATAAACAGATAAATGGGCAGACGGAGATGGAAATATTGACTAGGCTCTTGATATCGATGAGAAATATCGATACTTTATGGCGTCGGGAATGTCTCTTTCTATAATAAATTATAGGACTCTCTTAAGAAGGGCATAAAAAGAGTTTTTTGTTAAAACTAATTCCAATCTAATTTCGACAATTGCCGGGTAAGGGAAATGTCCAAGAAGACTTTTAATTGTCGAATAAAGTTCGAAATTTAGGAAATTAGGAAAATTTAAATAGTTTGCTTTTTTTTATAAAAATCAACAGGCGAGTCCATATTTTTTTTGTCGTCATTTAAAGGCAATAACAAAAAAAAAACTCCAATTTTGTAATGTCTCTATGCTTCTTGCATATATGATAAATCCTATCAATATCGGAGCAACATATCATATAGTTGACATAAGAGTTATTGGTAGAAAATAAAGTTCTTGAGAGTTAAACTTATTGGTTTACCAATATAACTTGACCCAGTCCAAGATTTATTCATTTTATCTTATTGATAATGGACTTATCATATGTTATAGGTCGAAAATTAAGTTTTAATAGAGTACAATTTGGGTTTACAAGATATGTTCCATATGTATGTGAACTAGGGTGTTTAAAATTCGGCGTACTTTTTTAATTCTCTCAATATTTCAATAGCTGGGAATGTTCCAAGCTATATAATGGATAAGATTGTGCTCACAAGGCAGAAGATAAGAACCAGAACTGAAGAATTTCGTTGGGATATCATTACAAATAAAGATATATATTAATATATAACTTTCTTGTACTTCGCAATTGAGTAGAGTATTCTCTTGCAAGATATACCCCTTGATTACTCTCCATATAGGGTATATATCTTTCTTGTATTTTGCCAAAATAGAGTAGAGTATTCTCTTGCAAGATATACCCCTTGATTACTCTCCATATAGGGTATATATCTTTCTTGTATTTTGCCAAAATAGAGTAGAGTATTCTCTTGCAAGATATAGCCCTTGATTACTCTCCATATAGGGTATATATCTTTCTTGTATTCTGCCAAAATAGAGTAGAGTATTCTCTTGCTAGATATAACTTTGAAGTTGCAAATCCCATTAGGAAGTCTCCTGTCAGCTGCGAAGATCTGAGGTAGATGGGATCACAATTTCGTATATTCATCAATTAAGTTGGCATTCAAAATTTGTTTGTGGATTTGTTTTGTTATACGCCGAGCACTTGGGGCTTTTACTCAGCTGCCAAGTTGAATTAAATGGGCATTAAATGGCCGAAACGGGCCAAATCCGTGCTAAAATAGCCCCAAATCTAAAATATTATCAAAATAGATTTGTCTAATGGCCATAAAGTTGTGGACCGCGTGTGATTTTTACAAGCTGCATTCGCACGCTACCGCACATGATCAATGATCAATGATGATGCTCATCATGATGATCATTATCGTGATCAGCTGAAGCTGTTGCTATTTGCGGCATTTGAACTTCCCAGCGGCCAGCACCATGACGTTAGCCCGGCCAATGACGTCACAGAATCAGACAGCATCTCGACCATTGGGGCCATTGGCAGTTGGGGCTGGGGCTGCGGCTGGCCACGAGAATCTATCAAAACTGGGGGCCAAAATTGGCAGCGTGTTTATTTTGTTTATGTGTGGCCGCCTTTGCCTATTCTTATAATTATTGCACAGCGCGCTTTACTTGGGCTCTCTCGCGAATGTTTACATCGTCGTCGATTTCTGGAGGATCGCGAGGCTCACGCGCTCTGCCAAATAGTTGCCCAGCCCCATTCACATGCCCAGTCGCCAATTAGGGTCTTATAGAAAGCTGCAACCAGCTTGAAATTTTAATAGCCCATCCACGCACACCCACACACACACACACACACACACACATTTGTACCTGTGCGCTTTGACAGTTTCAGCTAAAAATAAACGCCTGTCTCTGGCATATTTCAATTGCAAATTTTTATTTATTTATATTTCAACATATTTATTGCAAGCCAAAAACAGGTCGGAGCAGATACCCTAGCAAATACCCTGTAGCCAGTTTCGTGCATATACCCTGCAAATGTATGTGACAGGGTAGCATCGCCGACCGCATAGACTATATATATGCATATTCTTGGGCATTATCAATAGTCGAACTCAGAGATAGGTCCTCCTTCTCCTTTCCCGCGTACTTCAATTTTATTTCAAAACATCGATAACTGCCGCCGTTCCCATGATATCGATATAAATCGATAACAAATTTCTGTCGTTTGACAATATCTCGGCTCTTATAAGAGCTAGAGATACCAACTTTCAAATAAAAATCATTTATATTCTTTATCTTGAGTATAAACATACATTTAGATGTCATAATGGCAAGAAGAAGCACTGACTCGGGTGTGTGTGTGTGTATGGAAGGAAGATTTAATGATTGTAACGGGATTCAGGATATTTCCCAGTCTGGAACATCCTAATAAAAGCCCGCTCACAGTGAAAACTCTTCCAAGAGATACTCCTCGCGACATGAACGAGAGAAAACCTTTCCAAGCTCTTTTTTTTTTTTTAATTTATAAATCAGGTCATCTCCATAAGACGGACGGCGTATGTCCGCCTAATAGAGCTTTTGCTATATTTGATATTATAAATTTGTATCTTAAGTATCTTCCGTGCTTCTTATCGGATCGTTGTGAAATTTTAAGTACTCAAATATACAAAAAATCTTGTTCGATAACATTTAAATTATTTATATTGAGTTATATTTTAGCCGAGTATGCAACAGGTGTAGCTGCATTTGGCCAAATTCGCCATGTTTAATATATTTTAGAGAGACGTAAGTTGTTGAAAAATATTAATAACAAGTAGATTATCAAAAACATAAATATAGCTGACTGAATAAATTTGCCAAAACTTTCCCATATGTACCTATACATATGCATATATATATGTATATGGACATCTAGCTGTATATGTTTTTCGTGGAAAATTTAGCATAGCATAGCCGCAGGCGTTGCTCTCATTAGCACACAAGTCGCATGCGAGGCTGTTTGCAGAGGCGTTGCACGCAGCTCTAATTGAGTTGCAGCCTCTAATTGCGTGTGGGACAAGGCTCAGCTTCAGCTTCAGCTGCACCGTGCAGGAGAGTGTAGATGAGAGTTGAGGTTGGGATTGAAATTAAGATGGCAAGCGCGCGGGCGTTTGCAAGTCAAAGTCAATGCAACGAGTGAGAGAGAGTGAGAGCGAGCGAACGAGCGAGATGTAGAAGGGTGGGAGAGAGAGAGAGACAACGAGCTGCAAGTCGCCCACACAGAGTTGCCAGGCAGCAGCAGCAGCTGTTGCACTCTTCTCACTCTCTGTTAAGCCCGCCTGAAAGTAGGTCGAGATGCACTCTCAATTACACACACACACACACACACACACACAGGATGCGCACAGCTGCAGGCAACGTTTCAATTGGTTTTCAAGGGTTGCAGGGGCGCTTGCCAACTGGCAATTGCAGTCGCAGTCGCAGCAGCAGCAGCAGGTGAGCATAACAACCAAATTGAATGTGAAAAAAAAATAAAACTGTGTGGGCTTGTTACAAGCCGGCCCTGCCCGTGCATGGGCCTGTCAGCTACACCTACACTGAAAAAAAAAAAACACCATCGCACACACACACACACACACAGAGAGCTGGCCAGCTGCTGTTCTAGGCGATATCAGCGAAGGGCTAAAAGTGCGTCATCAATGGCCGCCATGAATGTGGCGGAACGCGGCCGAAAACCGAGCGCCATATGGGCAAATGGCAGAGGTGCGGCAAAGGTGCGGAGGTGCGGACCTGATGCCGTTTAATTGCCATCTCCACGACGTTGTTGCTGTTCATTCATGAACTGAAAGCCAAGGCAGCAACAACAACAACAACAACAACTATAATAATAGCAAAAAAAAAAAAACAAATGAATAAAAAGTTGTTTTTTTTTTTTTAGCTGTTGGGTCGTCAGTTTGGCTGGCATAGCCATCGGATTGTTGCTCGATAGCCCGGGCCCGGTCTTCAAGTGGCTTTGCTGACGTCTCCAGTTTGATATATATTTAGCTCTCAAATCTATTGGGCCATCTCTATGACTAAGCATATAAAACTGTTTGTTTCGACTAACTGAATGATTCGTAAAATGCTAAAAGGCTGCAATTTTTCACTGTAGTTCACTTTTGGGTTGGAGGTGGAAAATTCCAACCGGAACTGTGGAAAAATCGCCAAATAAAGGTCATGAGCAACGCCGGACAATATCCGCTTATATAATATATTAAGTATACGAAATACTGTTATCTGATAACTAGGTACTCTTCCCATTTCCTCAATAAAAATGCTCACATATTTTGGCTATTCTTCTGTGATCCTCTTTTAATATTAAATGAGATTTCATTTGCATAAGAATCTATCTAAACATTTATTTAGTATTGAAAAGTGCAAAGAGCGGAATTTGCATCCTTTTAGGTTTGTCTCTAAGGAGTTGTCTTTAGGAGTCCTGTGAGTTAAGTCTACCCAGAAAAGATTCTCTAAAGCAGCTTTCCTTAATGAGATATACTTATAATGCTGTCGAAGCGATGAGATTTCATAAATATTAAGTTTGTTGTGCAACACTGGAAATTTTCTAGTACTAAAAACTCTTGAAAGAAAACATAGTTTACTCGTAATCAATCAAACCATCCTCAAAAAAAGTGAGAGAAAGCTGAATTTGAAAACGTTAGCTTTTAATATATGCAATAAAAATATTTGACAACAAATAACACTTAGTTATTAACAAAGAAATATTCATAAAAAAAGATAAAATAATTTTTATTTAATTAAACTACAAAGCGTTCGCTTTTATGATCCGGTTACAAGGATATGTTATGTTTTTCTGTGACTCAAATAGAAGTGTGCATGTAATTGGAGCGAGCATAAAGATAATCCAGCCGAAATCTGAATTGGTCCCAGGGTATGCAAATCCAATCTCTATCAAGTGGCGCAGCTGGCCGCAATGTCGGCGTCGACGTCGACGTCGCGCGGGGAGGCAGCAAGCCGCAGCGACGACGCACACGATATCCTTGACTGTTGCCTTGTGTGTGCTTACGTACTTGCCACAGCGCTCCAAAGTGTTGTGCGTGTGTGTGTGTGTGTGTATCTCGCACACAACAAGATTTGTAGCTGCGCGCATTTGCTTGAATTGAATTGAGTTGATTTCATTTGCAGCTTTACAAATTATATTTATGAGAAACTAAATGATGTTATACTCAACCAAGGCGTGGCCTATAAATAAAACGCGGCTGCAATTTGATGCAATTTCTAATTTGAATTGCATTCGGCTGCATTAGACTGGCTAAACAGCATTTATTTCAAACGATAGTTGATAGTTGACATTTCCAATGTTATTTCGAGTTCGAATGTTGCGTATACGTCATGTGGTTCGTGGTCGAGTTGAAGTGCGCACAGAATCGAATCGAATCGAATACGTTCTGTTGGTGTATGTATTATTATTCATGCGTCACATTGATCCAATTATTTCTATATTTACTTATGGTTTCATCTATTTTTGAGCGAGTTGGCTGGCTGTCAGGAAGTTTGATTCTAAATTGATTTCCTGCCCAACCAAAATCCATAACTCACAGCTGACAATGCAAAAATCTCTCTCTCTCTCTCGCCCACGCTGTGCGTGTGCGTGTGTGTGCGTGTGTGTGTGAGTGTGGGCGGGGTGTGAGTTCTATGCAAATATCAATTTTAATTGTTGCTATTGTACTACGCATGTCAACTTGTGCCCATTCAATTGCCACAGCACAGCACAACACACACACACACACACACACACTGTACGCATACATACATGTGTATGTATGCATGTAGTGTCGCTTGAGTGTGTGTGCGTGGCAAACATTATTCGCCACCTTAAACACATATTTTTGTGCTTCGGCTTTGACTGCGACTTGCTGCCAACTTCTTTGAGTACTTTTAGACGTCTTTGCTTTATGTTTCCTTTGTTATTGTTGTTATTAAAGCAACACACACACTTACACACACACACACGCACACACAATACACAAAGACGTGAGCGCGCCCTCGCCAACCAAAAGAAACATGTAAAAGTAAAAGTGTGTTGAATTTCGTAAATTTCCCAACTAGTGCGAAGAATAACATTTGAAAATTTCCCATGCGTTCTCGTCGCATTTATCTCCTCTGTTAACACACACACACACATATACACATGCATACATGTACGTACTCTAACATTTTGGTATACATAATGCAAACATATAAATATGTACATGTATGCAAATGCTATATACATATATTTGTAAAATACAGTTAACTAGCCCTCTCGTAACGCTCTAAATCATTATTATATAGATGATCAGAAATGTATGCCTGCTGCTTTTTCCAAATATAATATTATGTTTCATTAATACACACACACACACACACACACACACACATATATATATATACGCTCAGATTGAGAGGCTGCAGTTGGTTTCGTGCCAGCGTCACGTTTACACGGCCAAAAATGATTATCCACTTTGAGCATGCAACATGCGCCGTAAACATTTCGAGTACTCGTTTATTTTTATACATAGCTGAATGACAACAACAACAACAACAACAAGAGCAAGCAATTCATGAGTTCATTCATGACGTCAGAGCGTCAGCGTCAGGTCAGCGGCCTAGTTCGAGAACTAGCTAAATACATGCACACATACATATGTACTCGCACATACAAATACATAAATACGTATGTATATAAAAATGCAAATAAATGTACCTAAAGAATTATGAATTTATTTAGCTGTATATAAGACGCACATTAATACCTACACATAAACATTCATAGGCGTTTTTACAATACATATACATATATATATATGTGTGCATATATGTGCATGCAAAGTGTGTACAACTTTCCGGATTTTCTAAAAATAACATTCGAATTTCTATGCTGGGCTACACACAGCTGCACAAATACATAAAATACATACATTCATATATATATATACATATGTATCTAGCTGGGCTGCACTCAATGCCTTGCATGTGTGTGTGTGTAGTTTTGCCCAGGACAGTGGCAGCACTGCTTTGGTCACAGGTTGCGGCTGCTGCTTCCATTCACACAACGACACATGCAAGCAGAGTGGCAGTGGAAGTGCAAGTGGAAGCGAGAGAGCGCGAGGCCTTTGTTTGCCCTGCATTATTGTTGAGTTTGTTTTCGCTTTTGTGCGTAGCCCTCTCTCTCTCTCTCCCTTTCTCTTTGCAGCTTTGGCTTCTCTTTTTACGGTTAGCCACTTAGGGTTTGCTTATTTTTTGCTCCAGGTCGATTGTAAGTGTGTGCATGTGCATGCAAGTGCTATTGTCTATGCATATGTGTGTGTGTGTGAGTGTGCTCTGTGTAAGCCTTCAATGAAAATGGTGCCCATGAACTCAAGAGCCCCAGCATGGCCCATTGCTATGAATGGCGCTAATGGGCGGCTGACGATGACGATGACATGTTCCTCTTACATATGTACATGCAGACAAGTGGACACTGTACAGTGAAATTTCTATTAGCGAACAGCTACCTTGGCCGTGCATCTAATAAAATTGATACCCAAAGAAAATATCCTCAATTTTTTGGTACTTTTATCAAAGCTTGAGACTATATCCAAAGCAAATATCCCTAATATTTTGGTACTTTTATCATAGCTCGAGATTATCTCCAAGGGAAATCTCCTCAATTTGTTGGTACTTTTATCATGGACTATTTTTTGAACAAACGCTAAAAATTGTTAACAATAGATTATTTAGTTTTTTTTTTTAACCATTAAAATGTAATAAAATGCCCCACCGTTGATCTAGATTGATTGATCTAGAGATCAATTTTCTAATATTGGTGTAAAATATGGGCGTCCGCGCAAGAGAGTTTTCACTGTACCTACATAGCTGCTAACTTACTTGAGGTACCAAAACTCAGGTTGTTATATTATGCAGCCATATTTGCCTGTTCCATTTAGATAAGAACTGACATTATATAGTCAGGGAAAATGTTGTCTCCATTCATTTGCTTTTCCCTTGCAGTTTGCAACTTTATCATACACGAGCGATGTGTCAGCAGCGTGGTAACGCCCTGTTCCGGTATTGCGCCATGCATTATAAAGGTGGGTACACTATCCTACACACACACACATATATATATACCTGATATCTGTTTTACATTGAATAACTTGGCATCTGTCATGTCGTTGGACAGAATCCTGTCGCCCATTGTTGGTCGGAGCCAACCCATCACAAGAGAAAATTCTGCACCGTTTGCCGTAAGAGATTGGATGAAACGCCAGCGGTGCATTGTTTAGGTAAGCCAACATTTCAACCAGCGCATTGGACGGCCGGGGCAGAGGGCCTAAAGCCCACCCCCAACTAGTTTCAGGGCTGTCAGCTTACTTGAAATGCATTTCATAACCAATTCCTGTGCATGTCAAACATGGCTTCAATTTATTTATAGACGCGAGTAGATTTTATCTTAAAATCGTTAAAGGCCTACATTAAATACATTCAAATATCTCAGGTGTTTTTTTTTTTGTAATTTCAAACAAAATATTTGAATGATTATTATTAATATAACTTCAATTCTGATTTCATGTGAAATGTTGCATACTTTTAGAAGCCCAACTAAAGACTCCCATCTAAAACTTTTTAGCTAGTAGTTTTTAACATTTGATGAAATGCACATGGAATTCGGTTAGAATGCATTTGAAATATAAATATAATATTACATAATACAAGTAAATAGTTCTCTAAAAGAATATAATAATAAAAATAACAATTTAGTCTATAAATTTCTTGCCTAAGAGTTATGTTCTTGAGAAATGACTAAACAAAAAATCAAAAATTAACGTATTATTAAATGAATATCTTACGATTTCCAAGTTTTATAGCAAAAAGCTTTATCATTTATAGCTAGTTGAATAGAAAAGAGTTTCATAGCAGGCAGCTAATCAATTCTTTAACCCTTCACAGTCTGCGAATATTTCGCACATACCGAGTGCCAAGATTTTGCTGTGCCCGATTGCACCGAGAATGCAACATACGTGCCTGGCAAGGAATTGCTTAATGTGCGGCATCAAGTGAGTTTCAAACAATTTATTTTCGATATCACATATGCCATACACTATATATATATATATATAAATATATATTATAATGCTCGACAGCATCATTGGCGAGAGGGAAATCTTCCATCAACGTCCAAATGCGCTTACTGCAAAAAGACCTGTTGGTCCTCGGAATGCCTAACAGGTGGGTATCGGCATACACTCCCATATTAGGGGAATCCTCCACTTATATATCTTCCACTCTCACTCCTTGCAGGCTATCGGTGCGAGTGGTGTGGCATGACCACGCACGCCGGATGTCGCATGTACCTGCCAACCGAATGTAATTTTGGTATATTACAACCTATCTACTTACCTCCGCATTCAGTTTCGATACCACGTACTGAGGTGCCAATCGAGGCGATTATTGGCGTCCAAGTCAAATCCAAGACGTCGCTCGTGCGCGACTATTCGTGTCGTAAGTACCAATCCGGCCCCTGCACCCGCAAATTTCCCGTGATCGTTGCGACCTGGCCCGGTCAGGGTCAGGGGTCAGCAGCTCAGCTCAGCTCAGCTCACTCACTCACCCAAAACTCACCCCCTAAAAGCTGCTCTTCAATCAGCTCTCGATGTTGTGCACATTTGTATGTTTGCTCAGATCCATGGATCATCATCATCTTCCGGTTCTTAAGCCTCATCATACTCTCCTCACCTCGTTACACGATCGCAAACAAATTCGTTTCCAGCTGCGGTTTTTCTTTTCTTTTCACATTTTCACACTGTTTCTTCGATTTTGTTTTCATTTCGATTTATTTATTTATTAAGTTTCTCTTGTGTTATTTTAAACGTTTCTTTTTTGGTTTGGTTGTTGGCCGTTGACGCCTCGGCAGCCAGCCCGGAGCTCGGTGCAGAGGCCGCGGCTGGTCAAGTTGGTGCGTCCGGTTTGTGTCTCAAGGAGCTCCTGGAGCTCCATAGACAGCGACTCGAGCAATCGAAACAACATTTTTTACTTTCAACGCCGCCCACGCCCACCTCCTGTGGCTCCATGTCGCTCTGTGTCTCACCCACGCCCTCGCTGACAGTGGGCGAGTCGAGCAACTACCAGGATCAGGATCAAGAGGAGCAGCCGGATGCCGAGGAGGATGATTACGATCAGCAGTGCAATACGACGGAGCATGACAGCGCCCTGCAGCTAACCACGGCCTCCAGCAATTTGGCCACAGGTCCCTTGCAGAAGTCGCCCTCGGCCAACTCCTCGCTGCACCTGATCTACACGAGCCTATTTCGTAAGCTGGGCCATGGCCAGGGGCGACGACGTCGCCGGCGCGGCGCCTCCAACAGCGAGCAGGAGGAGGAGGAGGAGGAGGAGGACGACGATGTGAATGTGGATGGCGGTGTCTGTGATATAAGTGGCGGCGATCTGAGTGACGATTACGATCACTGCGATGTGCTGTTGCGGAAGCGCTGCACGCGTCGGTCGCCGCGCGATGTCAGCGAGACGGATTACCATGGCGACGTGGAGCTGGAGACGGCGCCGCGGGAGAGCTGCTACGAGACGTCCGACACGGGCGGCGAGCTGACAAACACCGAGGATCTCGACTCCAGCATGAATCTGATCAGCAACCTTAGCTATAATAGTAGTAATAGTAACACCTCCAACACCTCCGAGCAGCGCCAGATTCAGGCGCGTTCCACTGCCACAGCCGCAGCCGCAGCTGCTGCCGCCGCCAGGGGTGTGGTCATCGCCCCAGGACCAATCCCTGCCTTAAGCGCGCTCGCTGGCCGCAACCTAAAGACTGGTGCTCTCCTGAAAGCCAAGCCCAAGCTCAAGCCCAAGCCCATACTCAGTGCGCCCAAGCACAAGGGCGGCTCCGTGAGCTCTCCCAATTCCAGCGACTGCTCCTCGGCATCGCCCGCGCCCGCGCCCGAGCCCGCCTCGTCGCTCCTACAGCTGTCACCGGTGGGACGCAGCAAATCGTTTCAGGAGCCGGGCGTTGCCCGCTACAAAAAGTACGGACGCGGCCTGTTCCAGCGTCGTCGATCGAAGCGCTCGCCCAAAGGCGGCGCCAAGAGCAACTACAGCCTGGACAGGCTGTCGCAGAATATCGAGATAACCATACAGGATGAGGATGGCAACTATCAGCCATACGATGACAACTATCACACACTCTCCGCGGCACGCCTGCCGCTCGACACGGATGCCGATGTCTACGACGATGTCGAGTACGAGGATCTGTATCTGGACGATCGGCCGCACAGCGCGGGCGATGACATTGCTGGCGATATCAGCGATGGCGCCACCAGCAGTCGATCCCGCGCCAGCGACGCGGATGCCCAGGGACAGGGTCACGTGCTCGATCGGCTGCTGCGGCGCGTCCGCGGCCTGTCCGCCGGCTGGCGCAAGCCGCGCTACCAGAAGCGCAGAGGTGATTAAGCGTACCGCAATCTTTGTACTCGTTTGTAAACTCTCTCTAACAGCAACTGCCACCGACTGCCGTATACGCTCAGTACTCAGTGCTCGATTGGCTTAAGTTTCGTTTTCGGTTCTTCGATTTGTTTTATTCTAGTTATTGAGCTAACCAACCGGCTTTTTTAACCCTCTGTTAACCAGCTACTAACTCAACTAACCATCCATCACATGCCATACGATCGCACCATTTCGCATCGCATCAGACAGAACTAATCCCTACCATAATACACATTGCATGATCGTCTCAAGCTAACCCCACCCTCTGCCTGATTATCTGATAGTCTCGTAGCTTACTAACGGATTTGTCACACACAGCACGCAGTATATCGGAGGAATTTAGCAGCGGGGATGCACCACGTTTCAAGGACGAGGAGTCGCTGGGCAAGGCAGAGTCCTCGCACGGCGCGAACACGGCAGGCGGCGGCGGCGGCAGCAGTGGAGGAGGGGGAGCAGGTGCTTCTAGCGGCGGCGGCACAGGTGGCTCGTCCACATACTATCGCCCCGACGCCACGGGGCACAAGTCCGACAAGTCGGAGAAGGACCGCGAGAAGAAGGAAAAGGAGCGCGAGGAGAAGGACATAGGTAAGTGCCAGAGAAAGCCACCCATCCGACAAACCCCAGCTGAAACGATTCAATCCTCGTCTTGCAGAGATGATCAAGGTCTTTGACGGCAACAACTCATTCCGGCGCCAGCAGTACCGTGCGATCATCGTACAGCGTACCTATACGCTGGAACAATTACTGACAACCGCCTTGCGGGCGTTTCACATAACGCGCGATCCGCAGGCGTTCTATTTGACCGATCTGTATGCGGCCACTGGCATGGAGGATGCAGCGCTGCAGGATCCGACTCCGGTGTTGAATCTAACACACTTGGAGGGCAAGCGACCGGCCATGTTTCTCAGGTTTCAGGACAAGGACAGGGGACATGTGCGCGTGTATCCCGGCAAATTGCAATGCTCACTGGAAGATCCCTATGTCAATGTGCCTGTCGATAATACAACAGTTATCAAGGACTTGATACGAGACGCACTCGACAAATTCGGTCTACAAGATAACCAGATACAGGACTATAGGTAAGATCCATCCAGCCCGCGCGGTGACCCTCAATTGTCTTAGTCCACATCGCCTTTGCAGATGCTCGGAGGTGCTGCTCGATCGCGGCGTTACCGAGCGCATACTCTCGTGGAACGAACGTCCGTGGGATATTATGAAGCAGCTGGGCAAGGATTCCATTCGTCAAATGGAACTGATGCGCTTCTACATGCAGCACAAGCAGGATCCCCACGGGCCGAACATTGCGCTCTTTGTGGGCAACCTGCCCACAGGACTATCGCAGCGCAACTACGAGCAGATCCTAAGCAAATATGTGACCGATGAGAATAAGTTCATCAGCATTGGGCCCATCTACTATGAGTACGGCTCGGTTGTGCTCACATTCGAGGATTCTCAAAAGGCGGTAGGTCTTACGGACACAAAACTCTCTTAGATATTGGTTGACATATTTGTCTCTACTTTGCCGGGCAGGTTCGTGCTTTCTACAACCTACGCGAGACGATCATCGAGGACAAGAAACTGTTGGTCCTGCTCTTGCCGAATATTGAGCCCAGCATGGTGCCCTCGGATGTCAGGCCCCTGCTGGTCTTTGTAAATGTCAAATCCGGCGGCTGTCAGGGCCTCGAACTAATATCGAGCTTTAGGAAACTACTGAATCCGTATCAGGTCTTTGACCTGGACAACGGAGGTCCGCTGCCAGGGTAAGTTAACCAGAAATCCAATTGGGGAGTTTCAACTTATTGTCTTCCACCCTCAGGCTGTACGTGTTCCGGCAGATCACGAACTACAAGATCTTGGTGTGCGGCGGCGATGGCACCATCGGCTGGGTGTTGCAGTGCCTGGACAATGTTGGCCAGGACTCGGAATGCTCTAGTCCACCGTGCGCTATTGTACCCCTAGGTACAGGTAAGTAGCTGGCCATTGCTCTGCCAAACCTGTTGCCCGTTTCCTAAGCCCAAGTCTTGCCAGGCAACGATCTGGCGCGGGTTTTATGCTGGGGTTCCGGCTACACCGGTGGCGAGGATCCGCTCAATATGCTGCGCGATGTCATTGAGGCCGAGGAGATACGCTTGGATCGTTGGACAGTCGTCTTTCATCCGGAAGACAAGCCCGAAGAGCCGGCCATGAAGGCGCCCTCACAAACAACGGGTAAGAAGAAGAAGGCTCACCAAGCACATCTATCGCAACAAACAAATCAGCATCATCAATTACCGGCTCTGACATCGAGTGATATATCAGGTCATTTGATGTTTCAAAATTATTTATTCTTTTTATACGTTTCACTGTCTAATTTATCTAACGCCCCCCCCCCCCTCGCCCCCGCCACCCACCAAAAATCCTCCAGGCCAAAATCCCTGTAAAAACCGAGCAATAGATGTTCTTATTACTTTGTATTTTTACATGTGCTTTGAAATATTGCTGTAATAATATCCATTAAGCTACCGATACTTAGTTCCCATGCGAGTATTTCTGCAACTGATTTGTCTAAAACTAATCCAACTTTAACTCAGAATTCTCAGCTAAACATTATAGTCGGTTGCAGGAATATCTATTGAGAGGAAAACCTACCTCCTCCAACCGAACCCAACCTCAATATATACTTATATCCGAGTAGTCTTTTGCCGCCCAGTTTGGTAGCTGATGATAAATGCTGTAGTTTTGATGTGTATACGATGTATTTATACACTCATTAGAGCTGCATGCATCCGTGTCCAGTCGTAGTTAGTCCCAAGGAGTTCAGGTAATGTATGTGAGTCCGAGTCAAGCGGAAGCCGGAGGCGCAGTCTTAATTGAATCGGTAAAACCGACCCATATGTCTATCTCGATGTTTTGTAAATTCAATGTTCGGTGTCATGTGTCAATGTATTGCCCAGCTCCAGGCTTTGAACTCATTGAATGCTCTCTCGATTGTCACAGGTGGCGCCCAGAATGAGGACAACTCGCAGATATTTGTGATGAACAACTATTTTGGCATTGGCATCGATGCCGATCTGTGTCTGGACTTTCACAATGCCCGGGAGGAGAATCCCAATCAGTTCAATTCTCGGCTGCGCAACAAGGGCTACTATGTTAAAATGGGATTACGCAAGATTGTGGGTCGCAAAACGGTCAAGGATTTGCAGAAGGAGCTGCGCCTAGAGGTCGACGGCAAGGTGGTCGAGCTGCCACCCGTCGATGGCATCATCATATTAAATATATTGAGGTAAGTGGAGAATTAATGAAGAATTCTGTAAACCCTATAAACTCACTCGGTTGCTCTTCGTAGCTGGGGCAGCGGCGCGAATCCCTGGGGTCCGGACAAGGATGATCAGTTCAGCACGCCCAATCACTACGATGGCATGTTGGAGGTTGTGGGCGTGACGGGCGTCGTGCATCTGGGCCAGATACAGTCCGGCATACGCACGGCCATGCGCATTGCACAGGTGCGTTACACATACGCCCCGTGGATCGGAGTGATATATATTAACTAACCCTTTGCCATCTCGCTTACAGGGTGGTCACATCAAAATACATTTGAACACCGACATGCCGGTGCAGGTGGACGGCGAGCCTTGGATTCAGAGTCCCGGCGACGTGGTCGTCCTCAAGTCCGCGCTCAAGGTGAGTCCCAGCCAAGCGATATGCCCCGATATGTATATAGGTTAGAGCTGCATGTTAAAGATGTTCAGTTGTTATTTGCATGACAGCTTTCCACTTTGATTTCTTTTGTATATACATACCATTTCTTATGGGCCTGATCATGAATCAAGACATGTGCACCCAGCACCAGAGACTTTCCTTTATTTTTATCATTTCTCAACAATTTAATTACCGATTGTACACCTAACGAGCCGGAACCCACAGATCATACTCGACAAGTCACCTAACAAACTATATCAAGCCGGATAACAATGACATTTAGAAGAGAAACGAAACATATTTATTTTAGAGTTTTAAGGAAATACCAAGAAAATACCAAAAATAGACGCAAGTTTTTTCTTTAATCGCGTTATTCCTTGAAAAGAATAGTTATAAAAAAAGAAATGGAAATGGTTTACAATGGAAGAATCCTTTTACACTCTTTCAATTAGTCGTGTTAAAATTTGACATACACACATTCCTCCTGGTAACCACATGTTAAAGCCTTACAAGCAGGGAGCCAGTTATTTGTTGTAACGATTTTTATGTTAAGCGTAGTGGAACGATCGTGGGCAACAATTTCATCATTTTAAACAGTTATTGAAAATGTGTGTGTGTGTGTGTGTGTGTTTGTTTTATGTAAAAACTGTGCATGCAACCAACTGCCACGCCCCACGTCCCAACTGCAATTAATACAACCTAGCTGTATAATAGTGATAAATGTATTTGGTATTTAATTGAATGAAATTAAATGCGCATCAATATTGTCACTGTTATCTCTTGTATTGATTTAAATAGAGCACCTGCTGTCCCAGAAGCCCCACCAGAACCCATGTATATATACATATTTAATGCAGTTATGTTTGGTCTTTTTTGTGTGTTTTATAATTAGAATAATTCCCAAGGATATTATAAATTTTTAGCCTGAAAATTGTTTCCGAAACTAAGAGTTTTTATATTCATATAAGCTGATGGTCGATCGCCCAGTGTTTAGTTTTTTCCTCACTTAAAAGTAGCCTTTAGCTAAGTTACTTTTTCTAAATATCTTTTTGTGGTTAAGTTTATAAACCTCCCTCGACTTAGGGTTAAATGCTTATCAAACAGTTGATTGGCTTTATTTTGCCTCTTGATAGCTGAGTTATTAGTTTTGGATGTGTCTTGAATTTTAACCAAAAATTCCTGAAAAATGAATAACAGACTTTTATTCAATTCCGCAAAGTTGCGAATAGTTTATCATCTTCCTTATAAAAGTTTCAGCACAATTAACTTTGGTATATTAATAATGAAAATTAAATATGGACACATATGTTGTCCAGTGTTGGTCAACTTACTAAGCGGACAAAACTGAAACTTAAGAAATGTGAGGTTCAGTTGAAAAGCTTGCTGTTAAAAATTTGTCCGTCGGTTATTTTCATTAGCTTCATGTTAAACACTTACTCTGCAGGAGAGCAAAAGCTTCGGCATATCGAAGATAAACCCACTTTCTTGTTCGTTTTAATGTAATGATTTCAAAGTTAAACTCATAATATAATAATTAAAAATGACAAACACTGAAAAGAATTGCAAACAAAAATAAAGCAAAAGGAAACTTCGTTTTTGATGTTAGCCTGTGAGTTGAGCAACCCAATTTGTTACTGTATATGTTATGGGTGTGTACATTTGATGTCTGTTGAGCCGTTGTCGTTGAGATTTGTCGCCTTTGACCTTGTGTGTGTTTTATGCTACATCCAGGCCACCATGCTGAAGAAAACGAAGAGCAAACGACGCCTGACGGAGCCGCATATCTCGCCGGCGGTGCTCAGCCTCTCGCTCGCGGGCAGCACCTCGGCCATGCAATCTGTGCCGCAGCAGTCGCAGCTACAACAACAGCAGCAGCAGCAGCAGCAGCAGCAGCAGCTACAACAACAGCAGCAACAGCAGCAGCAGCAGCAACAGCTCGAGAATGGCGACAAGGATATTTCGGTGCCGCCCTCGCTGCACCTGGGCAGCTCCTAGAGTCTAGCCTCAGCATATACGTCCGGTCTGCGTTATTGGTTCTCCTGTTTTTTTCCGTAGTAGGCCGCATTCAAAAATACACTATACTACATACATAGAGACAGCAAACGGCAGGATAAGCAAGCTGATTTAAACTGAAAGTCAAGCAAATGCATTAGCACAAAGCCATCCAAGCAAAATTTGCAACAAATTAGAACAGAACTTTGATGCAAGCTCGTTAACTTGTTGTAGTATATATTCCGGCTAATTAGCCAGCCGCTGGCCAACATTAAGAGCTGTAAACGCGGCTTACAAAACTTAAACTAGCTGCACACACACACACACACACACACGGCACACACCGCACACACACACACCAACGGCACACGCCCTTAAACATTTTCATTTAATTAATTCGACTTTTGTTGCTTTTGCTGAACCCTTAACAACTCACAGCAACAGGTGTAAATTATTTGGATTCGATTATTATCATCTTTTGCTTTTACTTTTTATTTAAAGCCCAATTAATGCTTTCATTTTGCAGTATATTCAAGTTGAAAAAGCTAACTAAATAATGAAAAAAAAAAAAACAACATAATTTTATTTATGTTAACTCTCTTTTACTTAATCTCTGTCTCTCTATTTCTCTATTTCTCTTTATATATTACTAAACATATATATATATATATATATATAATATAAATATAAACAACAATATACTATATGTATATAAACTCAACTACAACAACAACAAAAACAACAACAATTCCTAACCAAAACAACAACAATTAATGCACCGGACGCCAAAAATTTTCCTTTTCAACTTAACCTCAAACACTTTGCACTACAAATAAAAAAAAATAACAAATATTAATTAATTGCTAAATGAATTGCATCACTTAACTAGGCAACCATGTTAAAAAAGAATAAACTTAAAATGAAACGTCGCAACACGGAACCAACAATGCTGGTCGCCGGTTCAACAACCGCACAGCTATCCCTGGCCCTGCCGCCCAGCGTTGGGGAGGTGGGCGGTGATGCCGCCGAGGCGGACGCCGGCCCAAACAATACGGACTTCTGAATATGGTATAGCGAGCGTCTGATTTAACGTGCTAATTACAGGAACCACAACCACAACCACAACCACAACCACAACCACAATTACAACCACAATTACAATTACAATTACAACCGACAGATAGAACTTAAATCAAAAACATTAATCAAAATTAACTCTTTTTCTATATGTATGTGTATTACTATTCGTATATATGTATAGAGTATGTCTTTGTCATGTCATGTCTGAAATAAGTACGTTAAACTCAAACAGCTCGAACTAACAACAGCCAACAACAACAACAGCCAACAACAACAACAACTATTGATAATATTTAATGCTACAACTATAATACCTACTACTACTATACTATTAATGCAGCTGTGCGCAGCTGTACACTTTAAATGTACGCATAAACTACTTAGTATATTGTATGTATGTGTGTATGCTCTTTGGGACTTTCACAGCATTAGACGAAAGTATTCGCACACGTGCTTTCAGAATGATGATGATCCAAATGTTGATTCCTTAAACAGCAATAGTCTGGCAAATGTTGTATCAAATTCAAGCTTAATTATGTTCCTTACCGTTTTGTTCCTATGTATGTAAAACAACAACAAAAAGTTAATAAAAAAAAAACACACACACAGCACAAGAGATTAGTGATACCGTTAACAAAAGCGAGAGTTCTAAAGGAGTTCTAGAGCAAAATGAAATCCCCGAACAAAACCAGCGCAAAGAGCAAAAAAAAAAAAACACAAAACAGTACAAAATTAATTGTTAATCATTTATTTGTTGAAACCAAATGAAGTCAAAGAAAAAATATGTAAACAAAAATTAACCAACTTGTCAAATGTGGCACTGTTGCGTCCGCACGCCGCTAGATGGCGCAATAGTGCTGCCCAGCTAGTGGGCTAGCGGACGTAACAGTGCTGCCCAGCGCTCTGGCGCAAAGTACTCGGCGAAGTAAACACAAAAAAAAAATGAAAAAAGAAAACAAATGAAAAGCAAAATATGTATGTAAAAGTTACAACAGCTGCGAGAAAATTTGTACGAAGCTTTCGTAAAAAAATAGCTGCAAATTGCATAGCTTGTCGAACTAAAACAAATAGGGACGCAACAATTCGTATATTCAAGAGAATAGAGACAGATTGGAACTACAAAGTCGAGAGTATATATAGGCGAGATATGGATGGCATGGGTCAAAACAATTTGGATTGTGCAATTGGTATAAATTTTCTCCACTGTTGTGCAAACAAAATATAAAATGTAAACGAATGCATTTTCTTCAAAAAAAAAAAAAAAAAAAAAACAGAAAAACAACGTGCCTGAACACGGCTTCTGTCTGATTGCCACTCAGTCTGTCGGTCAGTCGGGCAGTCAGTCAGTCAGTTTGGGGCACGTAAGTATTTTCACATGCATTTGAACATTTTTGGGTGTAGAATCCACTTACAGAAAAACAAAAACAAAATCCACTGAAAAAATAAGGATATTCATTTCAATGAAAAGAAAAGAAAAGAAAAAAAAGGATGAGATGAAGATCACAAACCGAAAAACTACAATTTCAACTTCAAAACGCTTATAAAGAAAACAATTTTTGAAAATTTTATAACTAATTTTACCTTACGTCTTTTGTTAGACACAAGACAAACGCCATACACGCAAACACACACAGGCACACAGGCACACACATACGGCCGCTTGGGATGGGGCGAATGCGCATGGTCTGCACTCGCGGGTATTCGCATGCGCAAGCGCCTCATCCCTAACACACACAGTGCCAAGGCGATCGGGAGTGGGAATATCCGGTTCCTTACCTGTTTGGAGTGTACTGCAGAGCATTCTCGGTCGCCTTGGCCGTTACACGCACACAACACGCTGGCATTCACACACAAACAGACCGTTTTTTCGCATTTCCATTCACTGTTATGCACACACGGAAATCGCATAATAGTACCCAAACCCAAATTCGTAATCAAAACTCACTCATATTTCGTTTTACCATACGCCTTTTAAAAAGAGACACCTAGAGCTTAAACACACACCTTGCGTTCAGCAAATCACCTTGACCAGCTGCAATTAAGGGGCTCAGTGCTCGGGGTTAATCGGACAACACCTGATTTCCGTGACTCTCATATAGCGAGCACGTACGTTCGAAAAACCAGCCGGCAGTCGACTATGCAATGGATATCAAAATTAAAACTAAGTGCGCGTCAAAACAAATCTAAAAAAACCAAAAAAAAAAAAAAAAAAATACAAAAAAAAAAGGAATGAGATTTGAGGAGTTTTTTTTTTGTTTTCAATTTAAACATTATATTTTTGTTTGGCTACGATAAGGCAATTCGAAAAACCCATCCCATATTGCATAGACGTCTGCAAAGTGTAACGTGCGCCGCCTCGCGAACCTATTCGAAACTGAAACTCGATGCGAATCGAACTCGAATTCGAATTCGATTAGCCGCTGGCACATAAATTGCAGTTCGCAGGTGATTTGAATTTTTTGCCTAATTTCAACACAAATACACTGCGACAAAAATACACAATGTTTTTTACATATTTTTTTTTCCTTATGTTATTAAAACACACAAAATATATATATATATATATATATATATGTATGTATATATATATATATTACAAAAAATTAGTGTAAGTAAAAAAAAAAATAAAAAATCCAAAAAAAATATGCTATTCAAAGAAATCCAAAACATAATAACTACCATGCGAATAAAAAAACTAAAAAATCCAAAAAAAATATAAAAAATAAAAAACCCAAAAAACAAACAAACAACTAAAAATACTAATTATAGTACATACATTGATGTAGTGTTAGTTTTAAGTCAAAAACCAAAAAAAAAAAAAAAAAAAAAAAAAAAACCAAAACTTAATGCTGATAACATTTAAAAGCCAACTACAAATTTGTTTCATAAACGCAAGAGAACCGAACCGAACAGAACAGAACAAAATCAATACATAAATGTACAAGTAACTATTTTTCTCTAAACCAAAGTAAAAAGCTACAATTTTTGCTCCACATTAAATTAAACTTTATGCAGGCAGTGAACGATCCGATCGGATTGAATGATGAGAAATACTAAGTATGATATGTATATTTGAAAAGCTAAGTTTGTCAAGCAAAATTCAATGGAATTTTCGCGGAAATTGTTAAACAGACTACGCATATGCAAATACGGAATTTATAATGTACAATGGGCGTCGCTTTAAAGTCTTAAATGAACATTTTGTTGAAATGCAAATAATATTGCGAAAATCCAAACCCAAATCCGTTTGACAGAACGACAAAATTCTTGCAACAAAACAAACAGATATGAAACGGAAATAACTGCAAAATAAATGTAACTGACATAACAGAATTTAATACTTGCATTTTCTTTATGATATACAATTACTCTGTGGTAAGTATAAAAAAGTTCATATAAGAACTTTCATTAAATCGCATTCGGAATTTCATGTTTTTGAGCAGGCTTAAAAATATCACAATGTTGCTCTATAAATAGTTCTTCACACATATATATTAAGATTCAACTCGATAGCCGTCTTCACGGAGGGCTCAAAGTTAAAAAAAAACCAGAACCATCTGCAATACACATAGACGAAGGCATCTACAAATAAATTCTTTATCGGTTCGACGAGTTGTCTGCTTCTAGGCCAAGTAGTTTCTCTCTTGATTGTCGGAATCGGAGCGCTATATCATATATATCTCGCTCAGAAATTGAGTGAAAGCATGAAGAACTACATCATCAGACTTCTATATCTTATAGCTTATGTATGAACAATTCGTCGAAGATTTAGTAATAATTCATTATTATCTATACAACTTTTGAATTTATCGACTTTTTCATATAAAATTTATTGAGTAAATTGATTAAATATTGATATCACGCGAATAACTTATAGCTATAATACATTTATATTTATATCCAATAACAGTGCGCTAATATTCATTGCACTACATTGCGAATTCCAGCTGCTGTGTTTCAATCGCAATTATGATTAAATGACAAATTATAATTATCGAGCACATCATGAGAAAAACATAAAGAATAACAAATTGCCGACTCGACGCATGCATCAACTATTTATTTTGATCAGAGTCAGATGAAACAGCCGAAGGCAGAGGCGGCGTCGAGCGTCCATCGAACTGCTGCTGATTAACCAAGCGTTGCCGTTCTAGATACATGGACACCTTGATGTTGCGCACCTGATGGTTGTGAATAAGTTTTAGCAGCGCGATGACTCCAATGCCCACCGAAATGGCAAATGCTCCCCA